CATATAATTACAATGATGGTAATAAAACGCACACCTGTTTTCCAGGGCATAAACACTCAACTCATCCTGTAAAATCCAAAAAAGAGAAGTACTCAAGTCCAACTAATAACTTAAAAAGTAAATTATAATCAATGTAAAAAAAAAAAAAAAAACTTTTCAAACAAAAGGATGGCCCCTGAAGCTGCCTTAGCACTCATCTACGTGCCTACAAGGTCATACCATGTATGTCTAGAAAATTGATCATGTTTGCAAACATTACTAACATTTAAGAAAAAAATTCTTCAGCTGATAAATGCTTTGACATAATAACATTTTACGAGCATGTTGGATATTGAAAGATACAAAATGATCATTTCGTGTGTGTGTGAGACGTAGAGTTTAGACATTGATCCTCCAATGAAAAAAAAAAAATAAATAAATAAATAAATTGAAATTTACTACAACACCAGTTGAGCTTTACCAACTAATTGTACATGATCATTAAACCCATTGTGCAAGCCCAACAAGAAACTTTCTAAAACCCATGATCTAATTTCCCTTCCTGTTCTCAACCAATATAAGCATGATCTAATTTCCCTTCCTGTTCTCAAAAAATACTCTGCAAGTTCAACCTAGCAATCACCAAAACATGGAAGCTCAGTAACAGTAATTTACCTATGTCAGTAATGCTTACATACATGTTCACACAGACTGATAAAATGCATGAAAGCTAGTACAACTGAAAAATTTCACAATGTTTCTAAATCACCAGAAAATTCAATTGGAATGCAAATCTGAATTGGCATCAATTCGATGTGAGTGAGAATCCCTTTGCTTGTGGTAACTTCCCACTTACTGAGCATGAAGATTTTATGATTCAAAGGGCGGCAGGAGAATACCTTTATATATTATGATCTTGATGACGTTCAAATTTTCCTATAAGCTGTCTCCTTGATTCTGCCAGCAAATGCACGTAATTGCATCTTTGCCAAAATCCTTTCCCGGTAACAATCATCTATGTAGAAAGTAAACTGCCAGATAGGTTCTTACTCATAAAAATAATAATAATAATAAAAATAAATAAATAAATAAATAAAGAAGTGATTGGACATATGGTGCTAATAATATATCAAACCAGCATGTAGCAGGATGAAAAATGACATCAGCTAATATATTTGTTCTATCAGGTCTCAATAACATGGAGTGCAATTTAGTTGAGCATCAGTCTTCTCAATACAAAGTGTAAAGTTAAGTTCTCATAAGACCTTAAATACTAACTCTTGTCAAAATATAAGTCTTAAAGACATAAAAATAATTTCCTAACACCTTCATTCCAACACAAAATCTAGTGTTGCACGAGAAAAAGTTTCATGGAAGTCTGACAACTCTTTGCGAATTGGCGATCTACTATCAACATGTCTTCTGAAACTGACAGTCATCCTTTCTAGTGCTTTCGCGTGCTTGATCAAATATTTTATCAATCCAACTTCAAGACCCCAATGATAAATCTCAATCTTAGCTTCCTTCAAATGATGAATAAATGCAACCTCTTGAGATTCCCAGTACTCTATATTGAAATCAAGTGACTGAAACATAAAAAGCAATGATATCAAAAACAAAACAAAACAAAAAATGAGGCAAACAAGAAGAAAAGCAAAGAAAAACTAAATTGAATAGTAATATTACTCGTCATAACAAAAAATGCAATACTCAGTGTCTCTCATGGTCAAGGTCTTCAGATTCGGCAATCTCGTAAAAATAGTGGCCAATGCAGGCATTTTATGATCCTCATCCCCACAAAGAAGTTCCAGATCCAAATTTTGCACATTATCCAACAATAATAAACAACTTCTTAATTCCCAAAAATGAAAAAGAAAAAATAAAGACTATTATATCTGAACTTAAATTCTCATCGACCAAACTCTGGGTTGAATCTGATGTTTTTCTCTTTGTAGTCTTTCTGCCGCAGTATTTTAAATGTAGCTTGTCATCACAGGACATAGGGTAATACCGTATATCACAACTTGACAGCAGTCAGGGGCGCAGAAATATAGTTATGTAATAACAATAAGAAATATAGTTATGCAATAGCAAAAAGAAAGATTTCCAACTAGCAATAAGACAACAAGCCGAAATATAGTTATGTAATAACAATGCATTAATGTATTTTCATGACTTGTTTATCTTTTTCACCAATTTGACAATGAAAACGCAAACCAGAAAACAATTGTCAAACATGCCTTCAGTGTATAAAATTTCACTAATAAATTTAAAGAATAAGTGAATAAAAATGAATAAGAAGAGAGAAAAGAAGGTTACTGCATATAAGAGAACTTTAAAGGGGGAAAATTAGGTTTCCATTGAAAAAAGGAAATGCAAATTTTTTTGAAGACAATAAAAAGAAATTTGAAGAATAAGAATAACAAGGAAAAGAAATAAAGAATTTAACATATTTTTACAAAAAAAAAGAGGGGGGGGGGGGGGGGGGGGGGGGGGGGGGTTTGCGGGGGTTTGGTTGGATTTCTAAAGTACAAATGTAGCTTTAATATTCTACAGGATTTTCCAGAAACTACAAAATGCAATTATATGAACAAGCTTTGTATACAACATGACTTTTAGTAACATAAGAACTTGGCTTGCATCACAAAATCCCAACTAATTGTATATAATTATTAAACCCATTGAGCAAGCCCAAGAAGAAACTTTCTAAATCCCATGATCTAATTTCCCCTGTTCTCAACCAGCATGAGCAACCTGCCAATCTCCCAAGACAGTTTATACAAAAGGAAAATTGTCAAACCATGTCAATATAAATCTGCAAATGGTCATACTCTATCCAATTCAAATCCCCAAAGTGACTTTATCAAAAAAAGAAAAAATATTTATAATTATTATAAGCTTAATATAAATTCATGTGAAAGACCTGTATAACTAGCCGATGGAGAACTTCTTGCTCAACATTAGTAAACCTTGGAAATGCTTTGGAGAATCCCTTAAAGCAAAAATAAAATAAAAAAGAACAAACACCCAAAACCTCTAAAGAAATATAAATAAAAAGAGGGGATTGACAAAAAAGCTTTATGATAAATAATTAAACCAACTTTCACTGCTTATTATTCAACATTCTATGTATGCGTCACCTTTTAAAATATATATAAATATATATATATATATATAAAATATACACACTAACGTCCTATTAATTAACAAAAAGACCAATACTTGAGCAGGGAAGGAGGAGGAGAAGGTTCTAAAGAATATTCTTTTCTTAGAGAGCTGGCTGAATCTAGAAATCTCCCCTTAAAAGTAAAAACAAAGGTAAATAATATGTACAAATGGATAAAATAGAATCGGAAAGCACAATATATCCAACACTAATCACCTCATTCGAACATGATGTTAGCAGAGACTGTATACCCCAGTTTCAATGACTTCTTCAAATTCAAATGCCTCAATTCAGGAGGAAGTTGACTTGTTTGCTCCATTAAGTACGTGAAAGGTGTGCCTATATAATTGTCAGGGCTGCTAAACTGAAGGGAATAATGTAGAGTATTTAGGAGATGGGTAATAAGAATCAAAACAGAAAATTGAAAACAGAAAAAAATCAAAATAAACAGAAAATTGAAAATGCTAATTGAAGAGTGTGACTCCACACGTCTGCTTCATTGAACAAAAATTTGAGACACCATGTGACAAACGAAACAGATTGAATATATAATTGACACTGCAAATACACAACAATGCAGAAAATCCTAACTCGTATATACACAAAAATGCAGATGCATACACGTATATAGAGGGACTTACCTTTCCTTGCCAATAAAATTCTGTAGATCTGTATACAACAATGAGTCATAATAATCTAGGCAATTGATGTTGTTGTGTCTAGGGTTTTTGAGAGAGCGAACCTTGCAAGCCGATCAATGAATGAAAATTCTAGATCGAGATTTAGGTTTTTGGAAAGGCTGAAGTTGACAGGGAGCCTGAGCGTTGAGAGAAGAACATGTATAGCTGAAGGTTCAGGCAGGCTAAGAGCGGAAGAAAAAAAAGATTCAAAAAAGAAAATTAAAAATGAGAGATGGAAAGGGATGAAAGACAAGGGAAAATCTTGGAAAGGGACTATTCTAAGAACCTAAACTTGCATTTTTTTTCTTTAAATTAAAAATAATGCTCCTATTAATTATCAAGCATAATAGGACTGAGTGCAAGTCTGAGTCAATACTATATATACATTAAGAATAGTCTATATATTAGTTTATGCAGTTCTTTCTAGATTAACAAATCCTGCAGCTTCATTTGTAACAAGATTATGAGACCATATAAATAAATGACGGGCAGTCTCCAAGAAATCTAAATTTTTTTTTTTTTTTTTTTTTTTTATAAGTAACCAAGAAATCTAAATTTTTTTTTTTGATAAGTAACCAAGAAATCTAAAATTAGAGTAGGACATATCACATTCCACATTCTTTATCACTGATCACAGCCAGCTGAAACCAGGGAATGCATGCAATCACCACAAATACTCTGCAAGTTGAATTGGGTGATTGAAAATTCAGAACAAAAATATCAGTCCATTATTTATGCATTCAACCTAGCAATCACCGAAACATGGAAGCTCGGTAAGAGTAATTTACCTATGTCAGTAATGCTGACATATAGGTTCACTCAGAGTGATAAAATGCATGAAAGCTAATACAACTGATAAATTTCACTATGTTTCTAAATCAACAAAAAATTCAATTGGGATGCAAATCTTAATTGGCATCAATTCGATGATCTTGGTGACGTTCAAATTTTCCTTTAAGTTGTCTCCTTGACTCTGCCAGCAAATACACATAATTGCATCTTTGCCAAAATTGTTTGTCGGTAACAATCGTTGCACATTAGTCTAACTCCCTCCAACAGAAGCACTCATAAAAAAATAAAAATAAAAATTTATTGGACACACGGTGCTAATAATAAATCAAACCAGCATGTAGCATGATGAAAAATGAAATCAGAAAATATCTTTGCTATATCAGTTGTCAATAACATAAGTGCAATTTAGTTGAGCATCATTCTTCTGAATACAAAGTGTAAAGTTAAGTTCTCATTAAGACATTGAAGTTCTAACTTTATGAAAATATAAGTATTAAAGACATAAAAGTAATTTTCTAACAGCTTCATTTCAACACAAAATCTAATGTTGCGCGAGAAAAAGTCTCATGGAATTCTGACAATTTTTTGCGAATCGGCGATCTACTAATATCAACATATCTTGAGAAAGTGACAGTCATCCTCTCTAGTGCTGTCGCGTGCTTGATCAAATACTTTATCAGTCCAACTTCAAATCCCCAATGATGAATCTCAATATTTGCTTCCTTCAAATGATGAATAAATGCAATCTCCTGAGACTCCCAGTACTCTATATCAAAATCATGTGGCTCTAAAGCCAACAAGTCATTTGACTGAAACATAAAAAGCAATGATATCAAAAACAAAACAAAAAATGAGGCAAACAAGAAGAAAAGCAAAGAAAAACTTAATTGAATAGTAATATTACTTCTTTATAAACAGAAAAGCAATACTCATCGCATCTCATAGTCAGGGTCTCCAGATTAGGCAATCTTCTAAAAAAACCGGCCAATGCAGTCATTTCGTGATTCTTCCCACAACGAACTTCTGTATCCAAGTTTTGCACATTATCCAGCAGCCTTAAATCTTCTGTAAACATCCCCTAAAATAGCACCCACAACTAAAATTACTTAGCTTTAATATTATTTGGTGTAATTGGTGTTGAATTGTGAAGTTGCTATCTAAGATAATATACTATATATAAGGAGATATAGCAATTGTGTGAAGCATCAATGTTTAAGTACCTCCTCAAGAAAGCTGTTAAACAGTGCAACTGATTTGGCATGTTTTATAAATTGAAGAAGCACGTCAGCACTCTGTACAAGCCTGGAAGTATCAAAGCTGGCACTTTGTAGGCATATGGAGCTCGACTTGAAGACAAAAAGATCTTCACCCCAATAGACTTTTTGAAGGCTGGGTGCGTAAATTCTAAACAACCAATCGTCCAAGACGGACATGCTACTATGGTAACATATGTCCACATCAAGTGTCTGGAGTCTCTCTGCAGATACAGTGACACTGAGAAGCCCACAGAAGATTAAGCTCAAACATTCAAGAGAGGAGCTTGTGATATTGAGATTGTTTAGATTCATTATATTTTCCAGAGTCAACTTTTTAATCACGGGGAAGAGAGATGATACCCAATCCTCTTCTAAGTTCTGAGGAGGAGATAAGCTTCTTATCTCCAAAACCTGGAGGGAACTGAAACTGCTGGTAGATATAGAGGAGGGCAGTTTGAGAATGCCCTTTCCAAGACGGAAATTGATTGTTCTTACGAAGATGGATAGTGGTAGAGAAATGCATTCATCTTCGGACATTTCAAGGGATACATCAAGCTCCTCAGCGTTACAAATCACTGTAGCATTGTGAATCCATTTGCTTACACGAAGAGCATCCAATCTCGGAGACCGAGCAAGTAGATTGGACGAGTTCAGAACAAATCGCCGCAATTTCGCGCCATTACGCAGAGTCAGAAACCTTTCGGTCCAATTGCCCAAATTTTTCAGAATGTGTGAAGCAAAATCAAGAAACAGATCTGGGACATAGAGACATAGCTCTCTGAATCGTTTGGAGACGAGACTGGTTCGAGCGATGTCTTTGGTGGGAAGGAGGGAGAGAATTTTATGAACAATACAGTCGGGAATGTTGCTGAATCTATCAAAACTCTCTCCATCACCTCGACGACTCTTTTTCAATGAGGTACTCATTCTTGGACTTCAAGCAAAGACTAAACCCTAACCCTAATATTTTATATATAAATCAACAAAAAAATACTCTGCCAGAAGAATTGCTGGATAAAAGTTCTTAGCAAGCGAATGCACGCGAAACCTAACCACAATCGACCAAGGTTGATGATGCCCACGAGCTCTGTAGAGACCACTGCAACTGACAAACGGAGAAGATTTTGGGAATGGAATTAGACTGGGTTGAATCAACCTGGGCTCTTGTTGGGAATGGGCTTGTTCTTTATGTAGGCCTAATGGGTTATGAGTCCATGACCCTGAAGGATTTCAAGGTGCTTAAGCCGAAAAATGGCTTCTAAAAAAACAAGGATAAACTACAATGACCTCTATGAGGTTTGGCCTAAATGCAACTAAACTTAAAATTTGTTATTCTTTTGCAAAGACTCCCAATGTCAGATTTTATAGTGAATTTACTCATATACACTTATTATTATATTATTAAAAATAGGGCTAATTGCAAAAAAAAAAAAAAACTGTTACTTTCAAATTTTAATCATAAATCCCCAATCTGTTTCAAAATCAATGGGTCTGTTCTTGAAATTAGTCCTTAAAAAAAATCAATGGGTCTGTTTTTGAAATTAAATAGTAATGTGACTTTCCCTTCCTACCTATTTATACACAGAATCAATGGGTCTGTTTTTGAAATTAGTCCTTAAAAAAAATCAAAATATCTCGAAATAACAAATGACCCTTTTGCCCATTAACATTTTACCCTTTATTTTTATTTTTATTTTTTGCCCTTTTTCTCACTATTCCTCTTTCCTCTCCACCGGATTGTTTATGGTTGAAGCTTCAGACTCTCGGTTGGTCTTTAATGAACTTCTCAGGAATTAGCAACTACGGAGTATTTGTTGGTTTGAACTTTGAACATATATATGAGAGAGATGTTTGTAGCCAATGTAAGTATCACAATCATGAATAGCAGAAAACACATACTCATTAAAGAGCAGTTCCTACTTGAAAATAGGGGGAAAAAGAAACATTCTTGACATGATGAAGATGGGCAACTGCAATGATATCATAAATATAAACTAGGGTAAATTATACTTAAACTCCCTGAAGTTAGATCATTTCTTACCTCAATGAAGAATTTAGTTTTAATTTTCACTCATATTTTAAAAAGTAATTTTGTATTTCACTTATAATGTCAATTTGGGGGTGTAAATTTTGGGATGTAAGTGAAATACTTTTTAAGTATAAAATAACTATTCTACCATTTTGACCATCTGTTGACTTTAAAAAAGTGTATTTCAATTTTTTCATGACAAAAATATCCCCAAGTAAGCTTACAAGCAGCACTAATTTTTTTTTTTTCCCAATATCACCTTAATTATCATTTTTTTTTTTTTTTGGGAAAAAAAGCAGCTGTTACAATCCTGTAAAGCAATTGGCAACCAAATTTGAATTTAAATTGAAAACCTGTAAAACAATTGTAATTTTTTTTTAAACCTCTAAATCAGAACCTAATACAATCCAATTTTTAAAACCCGTTAGGATTGCAAATTCTTAAAACTTGTTACAGCAATTGATATTCCAAAATACGTGCTATGTCTGTCACAATCCAATTTTTAAAACCTATACAACAACATAAAATCTCAAAATATATCAATATATTCTCAACATAAAGTCTTAAAATACATCAATATACAACTAACTTAAAGTACAGAATATCATAAATACTAAACATAAAGTACTAAATAACTGCCACAAATAGAAAATGCCATCAAATTCATTACATCTCAATGGTGTTTAGGTCCTACTTGCTAGTGCAACATGAAGCCTGAAATAAAACCAAAAATATTTATTATAATCAAATTCATTACATCTCAATTCGGCACACTTTTTTAGTTATATGCTATATGCCCAAGAAAGCATCTTTTCTCAATCATTACCATTCGAAGAGGTATACAAAGTCCTTCGTCCGGGAAAAAAAATTAGATTGAATATCTTTGAAAAGAATAGCACTGAATAACATTGCTGAGCATTCAGAATGAAGAGTTTTAAATTGAGAAATATTCAGGACAAACTAGTCACTGAAAACTATTTATTCAAATACTGGTTTGATGCATAGAGATGGTACCATAAGAACGTTGGTAGCAGAAACTAATTTTCCTAGATGCTGCATAGCTTTATATAAATATGATCATTACCTTGTAGATAGGTCCAAAACCGCCCTCTCCAAACTTATTGTCAATCGAAAAGTTACTTATGGCGCAGGGGCGGCTCAATCTAATTTGGGGCCTTCGGCAAAAAAATAAAAAGTGGCCTTTTTAACAATCTAATTTGTTTTAGGCGAAAAAAAAAGTAGCCTTTTTAATAATATAAATAAAATTAGTCATAACTCAAAAATAAAATATACAAATATACACACACCAAATTTATAATAACAAAAGTTAATAAAATTAAAAAATAATTAAAGAAAAAGAACCATTTAACCTGATTTGGAAAACCCAAATCCAATACTTCTACAAATTTTCAATAAAATAAAAATGTGTTCATAATAACTGTAAACTTGTAATGAAAGTGAGAGGAGAAGACTTATTCAAAAGAAAAACATAAAACATAATAAAAAATAAAAAATAAAATAAATAATGAAAAATCTTGGTCATTTTTCCAAACAACATTAAATAGATATTTAATATTTTACTATTGGTGGATCTTACCCAAAATGTTTTTAGTGCTGCGGTAAAAAATATGAATGAGAGAGAAAGAAAGAGGGAAAAAAAAAATTTAATGATACAAATTTTTAGGGCCTAAAATTAAATTTCTATATTGGTTTTATTGTAAAACGTGAATGAGAGTAGAAAAAAGAGGGAAAAAAAGTCATATAAGGAAGTAAATCTTTGGAGGATAATATTAAATTTATGTATCAATTAGAGTTCAACATAACAAGGGAGGAGAGAGAAAAGAGAAAAAAGAAGAAGTTAAATTAGAATATAAAAATTTGAGGCCTAATATAAAATCGGAATGAATAAGGAGAGATAAAAAAATAAGTTATTTTAGGATATAAATATTTGAGGCCTAATATAAAATCGAAATGAGTGGTGAATAAACAACAAAAAAGTTATTTTAGGATATAAATATTTGAGGCCTAATATAAAATTTTTATATTTATTAAAGTTTAATAATATTAGGAAATAATTATAGTAGAACTTAATATAAGGAAATTTTAAAATTTTTGGGACTTCCTATTGGCTGGAGCCTTAGGCGACCGCCTAAGTCGCCAAAGGGTCGAGCCGGCCCTGTTGTGGTGTTAGCTATGGTCTCAAAGTCAAATAATGGTAACTCTAAATCTTGATCGTGTTTAATTAGTCCTGCAGAGTAGGAATTGAACCTAATATGAATAAAATACATTTTACATAGTCCTTGAATTAACATGTAGGGTAATATGGCATGGATCCAGAAATTGGATAAACCAGTCAATAAGATCCCAAATTAAAGTCATTAATATTATTCTCCCCAAGGGATTGGATCACCCTGACTCTCTTTCCAGAATGGTATGGAACCACAATTTGGTTACTCTATATGATGCACAACAATAATAGCACTTGAGAAGGCCTATCAGAACCTCTAACAAATCAGTACTATAATTTCACTTACGAGCATGTTGGCTATTGAAAGATACAAAATGATCATTCCGTGTGTGTGTGTGTGTGAGACAGAGTTTAGCCATTGATCCTCCAATGGAAAAAAAAAAAATGAAATTTACTGCTATACCAGTTGAGCTTTACCGACTAATTGTATATGATCATTAAACCCATTGAGCAAGTCCAAGAAGAAACTTTCTAAAACCCATGATCTAATTTCCCTTCCTGTTCTCAAGCAACATAAGCAACCTGCCAAAAGTTCAATTGGGTGATTGAAAATTCACCCAATTGATTGGACATACGGTGCTAATAATATATCAATCCAACATGTAGTATGATGAAAAATGACATCAGCTAATATATTTGTTCTATCAGGTCTCAATAACATGGGTGCAATTTAGTTGAGCATCAGTCTTCTCAATACAAAGTGTAAAGTTAAGTTCTCATAAGACCTTAAATTCTAACTCTGTCAAAATATAAGTAAGACATAAAAATAATTTCCGAACACCTTCATTCCAACACAAAATCTAGTGTTGCACGAGAAAAAGTCTCATGGAATTCTGACAACTCTTTGCGAATCGGCGATCTACTAATAATACCAACATGTCTTTTGAAAGTGACAGTCATCCTCTCTAGTGCTGTCGCGTGCTTGATCAAATATTTTATCAATCCAACTTCAAGACCAAAATGATAAATCTCAATCTTAGCTTCCTTCAAATGATGAATAAATGCAACCTCTTGAGACTCCCAATACTCTATATCGAAAAAGAAATCAAGTGACTGAAACATAAAAAGCAATGATATCAAAAACAAAACAAAAAATGAGGCAAACAAGAAGAAAAGCAAAGAAAAACTTAATTGAATAGTAATATTACTTCGTCATAACCAAAAATGTAATGCTCTTTGTCCCTCATGGTCAGGGTCTTCAGATTAGGCAATCTTGTAAAAAAAGTGGCCAATGCAGGCATTTTACGAAACTCATCCCCATAAAGAAGTTCCAGATCCAAATTTTGCACATTATCCAACAGTACCCAATCTTGTGTAAACATATCCTAAAATAGCACCCATAACTAAAGTTAGCTTTATTATTATTTGGTGCAATTGGTGGTGTTGAATAGTGAAGTTGCTGTCAAAAATAACTATATATATAAATAGATATAGCAATTGTGTGAAGCATCAATGTTTAAGTACCTCTACAAGAAAGCGGTTTCCTAGTGTAACTGATTTGGCATGTTTTATATATTGAAGAAGCACATCAGCACTCTGTACAAGCTTCGAAGCATCAAAGCTGGCACTTTGTAGGCATATGGAGCTCGACTGGAAGACAAAAAAATCTCAACCCCAATAGACTTTTTGAAGGCTTGGTGCGTAAATTCTAAACAACCAATCGTCCAACATGCTAGTACTATGGTAACACTTGTCCACATTAAGTGTCTGGAGTCCCTCTGCAGATACAGTGAGACTGAGAAACCCACAGCAGTCTAATCTCAAACATTCAAGTGAGGAACTTGTGATATTGAGATTGTTTAGATTCCTTATATGTTTCAGAGTCAGCTTTTTAATCACCGGGAAGAGAGATGATACCCAATCCTCTTCTAAGTTCTGAGGAGCAGATAAGCATCTTATCTCCAAAACCCGGAGGGAACTGAAACTGCTGGTAGAGTTAGAGGAGGGAAGTTTGAGAACGCCCTTTCCAATACTGAAATTGATAAGTTCTTACGAAGATGGATAGTGGTAGAGAAATGCATTCATCTTTGGATATTTCAAGACATAGATCGAGCTCCTCAGCGTTACAAATCACTATAGCATTGTGAATCCATTTGCTTACACGAAGAGCATCCATATGCCTACAAAGTTCCAGATTGCACGAGTTCAGAACAAATCGCCGCAATTTCGCGCCATTACGCAGAGTAAGAAACCTTTCGGTCCAATTGCCCAAATTTTCCAGACTGTGTGAAGCAAAATCAAGAAACAGATCTGGGACATAGAGACATAGCTCTCTGAAACGTTTGGAGATGAGACTGGTTCGAGCGATGTCTTTGGTGGGAAGGAGGGAGAGAATTTCATGAAAAATACAATCGGGAATGTTGCTGAATCTATCAAAACTCTCTCCATCACCTCGAGGACTCTCTTACAATGAGGTACTCATTCTTGGACTTCAAGCAAAGACTAAACCCTAACCCTAATATTTTTATATATAAATCAACAAAAAAAAATACTCTGCCAGAAGAATTGCTGGATAAAAGTTCTTAACAAGCGAATGCATGCGAAACCCTAACAACAATCGACCAAGGTTGATGATGGCCACGAGCTCTGTAGAGGCCCTCTGCAACTGACAATCGGGGAAGATTTTTGGGGCATGGAATTAGACTGGGTTGAATCAACCTGGGCTCTTGTTGTAGAGTTCTATCCTAATGGACCTGTTCTTTATGTAGGCCTAATGGGCTATGGCCCAGAAGGATTTCAAGGTGCTTAAGCCCAAACATGGCTTCAAAAAAAACCACTCTATGACTGTGAGTGTCATTCGGCCTTTAGTTAGTTTAAACCCAAAAGATTTAGTTTCTTAAGCCCAATAGCAATTATAGAAGTAGAGCTTTTAGAAGTCTTTGTTTGTGAAAACCAAAACTTTTAGATAGATGAAGAAAGAAATTGTTGAATTGGAGGGAGAGCAGATGGTATATATATATATACACACGAAGTCCTCTTCATAATCATGCCCATGAAATTTTGCATTAATATTCATAAAGATAAATTTCAACCCAAGTACAGCTATAATAATGAAAAATTAGCAATCACCTGTATATTATATATTAACTCCGCTAAGTTAAATTAGAGGATTACACAATTTGCATAAAGCTAGTGGAACAACTTATATATATGTATGAAGAAATTATCATTGTCATGACAATTAGAGAAATATTGTCCATCTTTAGAAAAGCAAAGGAGACCATTACCGTATCCACAACACCAGTGGCCTCACACGATCCGCAAAAACTTTCCAGTATTCACCATGTTAATTTGAATCCACCATGCAAGGCTCCTGCATAACCATTAACCAGAAGAACATGATTTACTGCCTCGTCAAGCACCAGGACGGTAACTGTTGACTCACAATCAAACTCCGGAATCGCTCCCATGGTGAACACATAAGAATGCTTAGAACCGTATTGTAAACATTCTATAGATGGAAGTGAAGGTGGATACACGGTTGATTATGTCACTATAGGCAATGGTAACGGTATTTTCAAAAAAGTAAATTCTTTGACACCGTAGAGGTGGAGCATTGGTTGTTGGTCACTGCATGAGAGGCCAAAGCCTGGGAATCCACAGAGTTCAAATTGGTGGCCTTCTGCCCAAAATGGGTAGTAGCTGATGACTAAGCCGCTACTGCAGTCAAGAGAAGGGCAGGGAGTGTTTTACAGAATTGCAATTGACGGAGGTGTAGAGAAGGTTCATCGTTCATGAAGAGGAAGAGAGAAGGAAGGTGATGAGCTAAACTTAAGAGAGGCCCCGAAGTGAATGAAGACATGCATAACATTGTTGAAGGGCGTTCCGAGGGTTATTCAAAAAGAAAGTAAACGTGACTGGTTGATGATCTAGGCCGTCCATTTGTAGTTTAATTCTTAACTTCTTTAATTAATTAAAAAATGACATAAATAACTGAAGTCAATGGGGCAAGTAAGAGTAGATCAATCGTAAGATAAGGAATCAATTGATTTGTTTACAGCGATGATAATGATGATGATTTAAAGAATGCAAAATATAAAGTCATGTAATTTAAATTAGCCGACTCTGGTGGGTCCAACCAGCTTCTCATGCATGTGCGTGTAATTTGATACAAAAATGGTCAGTCCATATATGTGTGCGTGTGAGATATAGAGAGTAATCAACCTTCTTTTTCTCTATTTCCTAACAAAGCCAAATGTGTTGAACAGATTAAAAAGGAAAAGAGTACGCAAATTGAATGAAACAATATTTTTATGCAGAGAAGTAATGACCTGAAATTTGACAGCAAAGCATGGAGTATTAAGTACAAATGTAGTATTTGAGGAAACCTAAAAACATTGAAGATATAGATAAAGACACAGAATGGAATCTTTGAAGCTTACTTAATGTACTAAATAATTATTGAATGAGACAAACTCAAAAAGGAACACCTACAATCACACAAGGACACATATATGAAAAATAATTTCCTGGAAAGAAAGGTATTCTGAACTCCTTGAAAAGGGGCAGACAGAAACCAAAGCTTCAATGATACAATCCTACGCTCTAACAAACCAATCTATTCCCTCTTTCAATACACGGGAAAAAAATGGGAACCTATTCCCTCTTTCTAAAGAAACTAGAGCATAACTACAATAGAATATAGAAGTACATAATTCCAATATTTGAATTCTCTGAATTCCGTTATAGGCTATGTTCGGCTGCATGAAATTGGAGCCTTGGAATTGGAATTGGAGAAAAGCAACTCAGAAAATTAAACTAAAATTTTCACCAATACCAATTCCAAGGCTCCAACTCCATGCGGCCGAACACAGACATAGGTATTTTAAATTAACAGCATATTGTGTTAGTGTAGCTCATGCACCAGAGAAATGGTTTCTCAAGAAAATGCGTGTCATTGAACTACATAACAGAAACTTCTGACATAATTTAACACAATAATTTGTTAAATAATAGATCTAAAACATTTCAAACAAGTTTTCTGAACAAAGAAGGGAAATTTGTCCAGTTTCACGTATAACCATCTAAACTTTTCTTCAACAATTTTACCCAATATAAGTATCAGTCATGGATACCAGAAAACACGTACTCATCAAAAAAACAGAGTCCAGATTATGTTCTTCCACGATCTAAACATGTACCATCTAAACTTTTCTTCAACAATTTTACCCAATTAAGTATCACAATCATGGATACCAGAAAGCACGTACTCATTAAAGAGCGGTTCCTAATGAAGACGGCCAAATGCAATGATATCCTAAATATAAACTATCATTAATGAAAACCTCTAAACAATTAAAAAAAATAAAAGAAGCCACATCACCGGATATCAGTTTTTCGACACATACAATTTGATTACTCTATATGATGCACAAAGATAATAGCACTTGAGAAGGCCAATCAGAACCTCTATCAAATCAGTACTATAATTTCACTTACAACTTCATAGAATTACAATGACGGTAATAAAAGGCACACCTGTTTTTCAGGGCATAAACACTCAAACTCATCCTGTAAAATCCAAAAAGAGAAGTTACTATTCAAGTCCAACTAATAACTTAAAAAGCAAATTATAACCAACTTAAAAAATAAAAAAATAATAATAAAAACTATTCAAACAAAGGGGATGGTCCCTGAAGCTACCTTAGCACTCATCTATGTGCCTACAAGGTCATCCCATGTACATGTCTACAAAATTGATCATATGTTTGCAAACATTTCTAAACATTTAGGAAAAAATTCTTCAGCTGATAAATGCTTTGACATAAAAATATTTTACGAGCATGTTGGATATTGAAAGATACAAAATGATCATTTCGTGTGTTTGTGTGTGTGTGAGAGAGAGAGAGTTAGTTTAGCCATTGCTCCTCCAATGAAAAATAATAAAAAAATTGAAATTTACTACTACACCAGTTGAGCTGTCTCTCTCCTCTTTTCCTCTTTTTTTTTTTCCTAGTTGGTACTCACACACACTTGTCTCTTCTGAGACTTGAACCTCTAACCTCCCTTTGGGAAGTAAGAGGCTGATACCGCTAGGCGACTGGCCGGTTGTCTCTTTTGTTCTAAGAGTATACAACTAGAATGAGACAATGTGTACCTCAATATTTTCATGTAAAGAAGTAATAACCAGAAAATTTGACGGCATAGCATGGAGTATTAGTACAAGTGTAGTATTTCAGGACACCTAGAAACATTAAAGGATTTAAAGATACAGATAATAACCCAAAATGGAATCTTTGAAGCTTACTAAATGCACTAAATTATTGTTCATTTTACATTATTATACTAAAAAAACACAATCGGTGCCAGAAGCTACAGCATGCACTATGATTCTGAGAAAATCTAAAATCGCTCCTTCAGCACCTTGTCATAACAAAACTGAATACTGTTGGCATTTCCTAACATTTAACTTTGAGAAACCACCCAATTCTTCTACTCCATCCAAAAAAAATTAAATGTAACAAGGTAGTAGTATGCCCTTCCTCTCTCTGAAACAAATTACCACCACAACCATAATGTGGAAAAACCTACTTGTTAACAACCAAAAAAAAAAACGAAAAAATCTCTCACAACCATGCTTGATTGGAAACAAACAACTTCTTAATTACCAAAAACAAAAAAGAAAAAATAAAGACTTTAATCTGAACATAAATTCTCGCTGACGAAACTCTGGGTTGAATATAGAATTTTAAACAGGACATAAGGTAATACAGTATATCACAACTTGACAGGGGCAGCGCCAGGAATTTGCCGCCGGGGGGGGGCGAGAGGAGGATGGGGGAGTTATATGCTATGCATGACCCAAAATAAATCTAGCAATAAGACAACTAGCATAATTATGTTTATCTTTTTCACCAATTTGGCAATGAAAGAATAAAAAGAAATTTGAAGAAGAAGAGTAAGAAGGTCAGCAGTGCAAGAGAAGTTTATAAAGTGCAAATGTAGTGTAGCTTCTATATTTCTACTGAATTTCTTATTAAGTTTATTGTAAAGAAGATAAGCCAGAAACTACAAAATGCAATTATAAGAACAAGCTTTTATACAAGAAGACTTTTAGTAACATAAGAACTTGCCTTGCATCACAAAATACCAACTAATTGTATATGATTATTAAACCCATTGCGCAAGCCCAAGAAGAAACTTTATAAAACCCATGATCTAATTTCCCTTCCTGTTCTCAAGCAACCTGCCAATCTCCCAAGACAGTTTATTACAAAAGGAAATTTGTCAAAACCACGTCAATATAAATCTGCAAAGGGTCATGTTCAATGCATTTCAAATCCCCAAAGTGACTTTATCAAAGAAAAGAAAAAATATTTATAATTTATTATAAGCTTAATATAAATTCATGTGAAAGACCTGTATAAATAGCCGATGGAGACCTTCTTGCTCAACATTAGTAAACCTTGGTAATGCTTTGGAGACCTCCTTTATGCAAAAATAAAATAAATAAGACCTAGCACCCAAAACCTCTAAAGAAATACAAATAAAATGAGAAGATTGACAAAAAAGCTTTATGATAAATAATTAAACGAACTTTCATTGCTTATTATTCAAACATTCTATGTAAGTGTCACCTTTTAATATATACATATATACACACACTAAGATCCTATTAATTAACAAAAAGACCAATACTTGAGCAGGGAAGGAGGAAGAGAAGGTTCTAAACTATATTCTTTTCTCAGAGAGACTGTAAGAGAGATGGCTGAATCTTGAAATCTCTCTTTAAAAGTAAAAACAAAGGCAAAAAATATGTATAAATGGATAAAATAGAATAGGAAAGCACAATATATCCAACACTAAAAACCTCCTTCGAACGTGAGCAGAGAAATGTATATCCAGCTTGAATGACTTCTTTAAATTTAACTGCCTCAATGCTGGAGGAAGTTGACTTGTTTGCTCCATTTAGCATGTGCAAGGTGTACCTATATAATTGTCAGAGCTGACGGGAAGAATGTACAGTATTAGGAGATGGGTAATAAGAATCAAAACAGAAAGTTGAAACACAACAAAAAATAAAAAATAAAAGAAAATTCAAAATTCAAAATTGAAAAGGCTAATTGTAGAGTGTAGTCCCACATTTCTGGTTCATTGAACTAAAATTTGAGACACCATGTTTAAAATGAAACAGATTGAATACATAATTGGCACTGCAAATACACGACAATGCAGAAAATCCTGGGATAGAAATGGACACAAAAATAACAGTGGTTCACTGTTCACAGTACACATGAGAAATTGATTTTTTTTTCAGAACAATTGTTATATTACAAACAAGAAATGGGAATGTTCTAAAGAATTTATAGAAAATTCAAACATTTTGAACTCATAATAATTAGTAATCTAACAATACTAACTCATATATACACAAAAATGAAGATGCATACACATATATAGAGGGACTTACCTTTCTTCTCCAATCAGAATCTGTGCATCTGCATACAACAATGAGGCAAAATCTAGGCAATTGATGTTGTTGCGTCTAGGGATTTTGAGAGAGCGAGCCTTGCAAGCCAATCGATGAACGAAAATTCTAAATTGAGATTTAGGGTTTTGGAAAGGGTGAAGTTGACAGGGAGCCTGAGCGTTGAGAGAAGACTATATACAGCTGAACGTTCAGGCAGGCTAAGAGTAGGAGAAGAAAAGATTCGAAAGAAAGAAAAATTAAAAATGAGAAAAGGAAATGGATGAAAGACAAGGGAAAATCTTGGAATGGGTCTATTCTAAGAACCTAAACTTGGATATTTTTTCTTTAAATTAAAAATAATGTTCCTATTAATTATCAAGCATAATAGGACTGAGTGCAAGTCTGAGTCAATACCATATATACATTAAGAATGGTCTATTTATTAGTTTATGCAGTTCTTTCTAGATTAACAAATCCCGCAGTTTCGTTTGTAACAAGACTGTGAGACCACCATATCAATAAATGACAGGCAGTCTCCAAGAAATCTAAAATTTGAGTAGGACATATCATATTCCACATTCTTTGTCGCTGATCACAGCCAGCTGAAACCAGGGAACGCATGCAATCACCAAAAATACTCTGCAAGTTCAATTGGGTGATTGAAAATTCAGAACAAAAACATTACTCCATTATTTTTGCATTCAAACTAGTGATCACCAAAACATGGAAGCTCAATAATGTAATTTACCTATGTCGGTAATGCTGACATATATGTTCACACAGAATGATAAAATGCATGAAAGCTAGTACAACTGATAAATTTTACTATGTTTCTAAATCACCAGATAATTCAATTGGAATGCAAATCTGAATTGGTATCAATTCGATGTGAGAACCCCTTTGCTTGTGGCAACTTCCCACTGACTGAGCATGAAGATTTTATGATTGAAAGGGCGTCAGGAGTATACCTTTATATATTATGATCGTGATGACTTTCAAATTTTCCTATAAGTTGTCTCCTTGATTCTGCCAGCAAATGCACATAATTGCATCTTTGCCAAAATCCTTTGTCCGTAACAATCATCTATGTAGAAGGAAATTGCCAGATAGTTTCTTCCTTGTCTTTCTTGTGCACAGTAGTCTAACTCCCTCCAACAGAAGCACTCATAAAAAAAAAAAATAATAATAATAATAATAATAATAAATAAAAGAAGTGATTGGATATTCGGTGCTAATAAAATATCAAACCAGCACGTAGCATGATGAAAAATGACATCAGCTAATATATTTGTTCTATCAGGTCTCAACAATATGAGTGCAATTTAGTTGAGCATCAGTCTTCTCAATACAAAGTGTAAAGTTAAGTTCTCATAAGACCTTAAATTCTAACTCTGTCAAAATATAAGTCTTAAAGACATAAAAATAATTTCCTAACACCTTCATTCCAACACAAAATCTAGCGTTGCACAAGAAAAAGTTTCATGGAATTCTGACAACTCTTTGCAAATCGGCGATCTACTAATACCAACATGTCTTGAGAAAGTGACAGTGATCCTCTCTAGTGCTGTCGCGTGCTTGATCAAATATTTTATCAGTCCAACTTCAAATCCCCAATGATGAATCTCAATCTCCACTTCCTTCAAATGAAGAATAAATGCAACCTCTTGAGACTCCCAGTACTCTATATCGAAATCATGTGACTGAAACAAAAAAGCAATGATATCAACAACAAAACAAAAAAATGAGGCAAACAAAAAGAAAAGCAAAGATAGACTTAATTGAATAGTAATATTACTTCGTTATAACCAAAAATGCAATACTCGATGTCTCTCATGGTCAGGGTCTTCACATTAGGCAATCTTGTAAAAAAAGTGGCCAATGCCGGCATTTTACGATCCTCATTCCCGCAAGGAAGTTCCAGCTCCAAATTTTGCACATTATCCAACAGTCCCAAATCTTGTGTAAATATATCCTAAAATAGCACCCATAACTAAAGTTAGCTTTAATATTATTTGGTGCAATTGGTGGTGTTGAATAGTGAAGTTGCTGTCTAAGATAAATATATATATATATATATAGCAATTGTGTGAAGCATCAATGTTTAAGTACCTCCTCAAGAAAACGGTCTCTTAGTGTAACTGATTTGGCATGTTTTATATATTGAAGAAGCACATCAGCACACTGTACGAGCCTCGTAGCATCAAAGCTGGCACTTTGAAGGCATATAGAGCTCCCATAGAAGGCAAATTGATCTTGACACCAATTGATTTTTTGAAGGCTGGGAGCATAAATTCTAAACAACCAACCGTCCCATTTGTAGCTGCTACTCTCGTAACAATACTCCACATGCAGTGTCTGGAGTCTATCTGCAGACACAATGACTGAGAGAAGGCCACAGACCATTAAGGTCAAACATTCAAGAGACGAGCTTATGATATTGAGATTGTTTAGATCACTTATAACTTCGAGATTCAACTTTTTAATCACCGGGAAGAGAGATGAAACCCAATCCTCTTCTAAGTTCTGGGGAGCAAAGAAGCTTCTTATCTCCAAAACCTGGAGGGAACTGAAACTGCTGGTAGAGATAGAGGATGGCAGTTTGAGAATGCCCCTTCCAAGTCTGAAATTGACCGTTCTTAAGAAGATGGATAGCGGTAGATAAATGCTTTCTTCTTCGGACATTTCAAGAGATAGATCGAGCTCTTCAGCGTTGCAAATGACTGTAGCATTGTGAATCCATTTGCATACACGATCAATCTGAGTCGGACCAAGAGAATTGGACGTGGTCAGAGCAAATCGCCGCAATTTCGCGCCATCACGCAAAGTAAGAAACCTTTCGGTCCAATTGCCCAAATTTTCCAGACTGTGTGAAGCAAAATCAAGAAACAGATCTGGGACATAAAGACATAGCTCTCTGAATCGTTTGGAGACGAGACTCATTCGAGCGATGTCTTTGGTGGGAAGGAGGGTGAGAATTTCAAGAAGAATGTAATCGGGAATGTTGCTGAATCTATCAAAACTCTCTCCATCACCTCGACGACTCTTCAATGATGTACTCATTCTTGGACTTCAAGCAAAGACTAAACCCTAACCCTAACCTTAACCCTAATCTTTTATATATAAATCAACAAAAACGAATTACTCTGCCAGAAGAATTGCTGAATAAAAGTTCTTACCGAGCGAATGCATGCGAAACCCTAACCACAATCGACGAAGGTTTAAGATGACGATGAGCTGTGTAGACACCTCTGCAACTGACGAACGGAGTAGAGTAGAGAAGACTGGGGCATGGAATTAGATTGGGTTGAATCGACTTGGGCTGCTGTTGTAGAGTTCTGTCCTAATGGGCCTGTTCTTTTTGTAGGCCTATTGGGCTAATGACAGTGGACTATGGGTTATCTTTCCTTTGAGCTGCACACACTTATTTAATTACCCCTAAAAAAACACAAGAAAATCAGAATTTACTTTTTTAAATCTTTCCTCTGATTTATAAAAAAACACATTTACTTAAAAAAAAAATTAAAATTAAAAAAAAAAAAATCAAAAGTTAGAAGAATTTTCTTCCATCAAAAAGGCAAACTCAGTTCACAAGACTCTTTCTATTGTATGATCTGGGGAGGGTCTTTCCTTTGATTTTTGCACAAGGCTTCAGTGTAGCCTTACTTTTGAGTCGTAATAGAACAATTTTACGTTGGGCCAAAACTCATCCACCAAGAAATTGCAATACATATAATTAGTAAATTACCGAGGCTGGCCCAACAATTCTAATCGTGGATTTGATTCACAATTTTCATCCTAGCCCAAATGTTACACATCCTAAATGTGACCCACTTTGGAAAGTTTATTTATTTTTAGGCTTTGTTTGTTTCGACCTTTTTTAGATAAAATATTTTTTATTTTTACTTTTTTTGTGTTTGCTAAAAGTTTATGTCGAGGTTGAGGGAGTCCAGCAAAGCACGTAAAATAACTTGCCGAAAATTGATGGATAAGTTATTTTTTGTTAAATTTTAATATTTTTTTGCTTCGTAAATATTTTACGATAACCAAACACCAAAAAATAAAAATAAAAAAATTGAAAAATATTTTATATCCAAACAAACGGAGTCTTAATATATAAACTCTACCAGAGCAACTTGGATTTTGTTTGAGTTTTATTTTTTTTCAAAAATTAAATTGAGTTGAATTTTAGTTGTTATGCTTGTGTTTGAATGCTAATAGCAATGTTATCATTCCCTAATGTACCATTGTATATATCATACATATTTATATTGCTTGGTCCAATGATATATGGTATATTAACTAATTTTAATTTAAAGAGTTACTAAAATTATTAAGAGTAAGTCTATTATGAGATCGAAGCGTTATCTGGACGGTGAACTTGCATCATTTTTCAATAAATCAATTGCAATAAATGAGCATTATCTCGTAACAAGGCTAGCCTTTTTTAGGCAGCAATATCATTTACATTAAGAATACTAATTAGGCTATTCTATAAATTTTTAGATTATAGAATGTAAAATCACTTGTACTTTTCATAAATTAACACTCCTAAATCTTGCAATAATAAGAGTCTCGTGACTTAATTTTTATTTTTTATGGTAACAATATTATTTATATTGATGGTACTACTTAAATTGTTCTATAAATTTCTAGATCATATAATGTAAATATAAACGTACTTTCAAAAATCACCATGAAAGACCTCACAATGATAGGAATGGTAAAAGTCTTCTGCACTGAAATACTAATTTTTCTGAAGCGCAGTATCATTTATATTGATAGTGCTTCTTAGATTATTCATTAAATTTCTACATCATAGAATGTAAAGACAAATGTGCTTTTTGAAAATCAATATTTTCAGAACCTCACAATGACACGATTCTCCATAAATTTCTAAATCATAAAATGCAAAAACAAATACAGGCACGGGCTCAATTCAGGCCAGTGGGGGCGGTTGCCACCACTAGAATTTTTTTAATTTACATTATTAGCTATAGTTTTAATTAAAATTTTAAAAATGTTCCTACTCAATTTTTCTAATTTAAATTATTACCTATTGTTTCAACCAAAATTTAAAAAATACCCCCACTGGATTTTTTCCAATTTACATTATTACATATATTTCAATTAAAATTTTAAAAATGCCCCCACTTGAATTTTCTAATTTACATTATTACCTATAGTTTCAAATAAAATTTCAAAAATGCCCCCACTTAATTTTTAAAAAACTCCATTTCACATTTTTTACCCCACTATTTATAAAAATTATTATGTTTATTATTTTATTTTAAAAATATTTGTTTTCAATTTATTTATTCTTCACCATTTCGTCTATGAACAAATGCACTTTTCAAAAATTTACTCTTTCTAAACCTTACAATGACAAATCTTGCAATGACAAGAGTTTCCAAAAGTCTTGTGCATTGAACTAACATTTTTCTTACACAACAATATTATTTATATTGACAGTAATACTTAGCCGGTTCTATCAATTTCTAGAATATCTAATGCAAAGACAAATGCACAGTTAGCTTCTATTCATTTTTTTGGTCCGTTCAGATGGGGTAGTTGGGAAAAAGAGAGAAAGCAAATGGAACTGAGATAATAAATGGAGGTTTATCATGTGTTTTTTGAAATAATTAAGAGAGAAATTTCAATTGTTGATCTACAAAAACAAGAAGAAATTAGAGAAAGAATAGAGTGTAACAAATTGATAATCATCTTCCACATATATATATATATATTATTCATTGTTTAATCTTGTTTTTACAAGTATTTTTTTTTTCAAAAAAAAAATAAAAAATTGTCGAGCCATCAAAAAATATTGGACTTACTTGATTTGTAATTTTGATAATAGTTATCAAGAATTCAGATAACAGAAAGCAATTTTTAAAAAAGACAATTCTCTGAAAAGAGATCTTTTATAACTGAGTTTTGAAAAAATTAAACCAAGCAAAAATTTTTGTATAATTTTTTATTTTCAGTTTTCTAAGAATAAAAAATTATTTATAGGATTACAAATCAAACAAGACTATTGTTTTAAAAAATTAGTTGGTGTTTGGCAACGCAGCAGTTTGCAAAGCACTTTTGATAATTATTCTCATTTCAAAAATCAATCTCTCTCTAGATATTTCACTTCTACTTGCCAAACAAATATCCATTGCCTAAACAAATATCTATTGCTTCAACAAATATATATATATATATATATATATATATATATATATATATATTTTATTTATTTTAAGTATAAATGATGGAAAATTTTCAAATTAAAGACGCTTTTAATTTGTACACGACAATTAGGCACAAAAATACAGACACTATAAAGTAGTTTAGAAAGATAAGCAAGGGAGGAAAGCAGTGTGAACACACTTTGGGTACATGTACCACAAATGGTAGAGGAATGAACACGTGGTCATTTTCGTTGAAATATTTAATGAAATATTCCAAAAAACAGAAGGTAACATTGAATTTTCATATATATATATATATGATGCATATATATATGTATATATAATATTGTTGTGTCCATCTGACACGTATAGCATGCAAAATTAATGATTCATACATTCTATTATCTCGTCAAAATATCATCTCAAGATGAAAAAATGCCATGCTAATTGATATTTAACATGAAAATAGTTACGGCCACAGTTAATTGTTGTATGGTGGCAATTTTATATGCTTGTGATGTGGTATGTTAAAGTTTTTAAAATTTTCTGATTATATTACTAAATGATTTTACCAATCCCTTTCTGGAAAATAATTTACTTAAGTCTCTTTTATTTTTGTAAATATGAATTTGATTCTTTAACTTTACCCCTCTATTTTAAATGTCATGTTCATATTTTTCTCTTAATATATAACCAATTTAGCAATAACTTACTTTATTAATGTACTATTTTAGATAGACAAATATACTAAAGAAATGTTCATTTTCTCCAAACATCCTTTGCTTAGGGTTTTGGCTTGAGATACGATATCCGACAAATTAATTTTTCATTAGTATTTTGGCTTCGATTGAGATACGATATTTCATAAATTAATTTTCTGTTAACATATCATAGAATAATTTTATTTATATACTTATGTATTTTGCAATTATGTAACCGTTTGTTCCCCTTGTTGTCCTAACAAAGCTTTTTCGATACATCCAATTGATCTTATATAATAGTCAATCCTATATAGAAAATGGGAATGATTGATGGATTACCGGATACATTAATTATTCTACTTTCACTTTCTAGTACATCGGTACATTAATATCATAGTAGGAGAATCTCATAATCATCCAATCGATACATGCCCTTAGGAGAATCTTACGAGATGATCTCCGATAGACATGAATTGAATCCCAAGAACTACATGGGGGCATTTCCAATGTAGACGGTTTTGGCTTCGATCGAAATATAATATCTAACAAATTAAGTTTCAGTTAGGATTTTGGCTTTGATTGAGATGCGGTAACCAACAAATTAAGTTTCCGTAACATTATGGAGAACAATTTCATTTATTTATTTGCAATAAATTAACCGCCTGTTGACCATGTTATTCTAGCAAAGCTTTTTCGATACGTCCAATCGATCTTAATGGGAGTCAATCCAAAATAGTTCGAGAAAGTTATTAATCAAAAGGCGACAAGCGAAAACTTTCTTCTATCAATGCCCAATTCGATACGTCCAATCAATCTTAATAGCAGTCAATCCAAAATAGTTAGGAGAAAGTTATTAATCAAAAGGCGACAAGCGAAAACTTTCTTCCATCAGTGCCCGATAAGGTGCTTTTTAGATTAAGTCAATAGCCTACCAACACGTAAGGTTTTGATTTTGCTTGAGAACCTATAAACAAGGGAGACGAGAATATCTTGTTCAAAAGTTCCACTTTTCTAAATAGTGAGAAAATGATATGACTTTCACTTCACGTCTTAGAAGTTGACTATTTAGATTTCTTTCTTCCTCGTTCCGTAAGAAGGAAGAGAGGTGAATGGAAGATAGAAATAAATGAACAAACTTCATTCGTTCGGTAGTAAGGAGACAACAAGAGAAAGGATAATAAGATGAATGATTCATTTTTAATTCACAAATTTTCATCCCTATAAACATGGATGGATAAAAGGAAGGAAGGGAAGACAAGTAAAACTATTATAAACGTTTTAAATTATAATATTATCTTTCATAAATTACAATACTATAAATAGTGACGAGTATAATTAATGGTAAAAATAATTTAAAACTCTATTTAATTTCTCTTATAGTTTAACGAACACAATAAGTTAATAGTTTTTTCTCTTCTTTTTCGTCCAACCGAACAATCCTTCTCTAAAGATTTCTGATCCATCCATTTTTCTCTCCCTTCTATCTAATTTATTTTCCTTCCTATTGAACAAAGCATTGGAGTCGCTTAACTTTTTTTCACTAATTGTCTAGTGTGAACGTACGTGCAAGGGTAAAAAGACTACACGTACTTTAATAGTGGACTATAGTTTCCACTAAAACTCAAACCCTTAACCTTCTTTTAAAAAATAGGAGTGTAGTATTGCCCTCTCTCTCCCTTTGCCATTCCCTTGGTTATTTTTCCTCAATGTCAAGGAGGGTACAAAATATAATTATTTCCTTTAATTTTGAGTTAATTTTAATTATGTTTCCTTTCAGGCAAACCAAATAGACATCTCGCAGGATCGTGTGAGATCTATGACCCTGGATGCAACATCTCACCAATTAATAAGCTCAATGTCCATTTTGGTAATTTCGATCACTTTCCCATTCTATAAGAACCAACTACCCATGATGACTCACAAACGCACTTGAGCCAAATTTAAACACTGGAAGAAGTGCTTGGCAAATCTCACCTAAGGTGACAAGTCCAGAATCTCTCTCTCTCTCTCTCTCTCTCTCTGTCTGTGTGTTTTTGTGTGTGTTGATTACTTACTCAATGTATCTCTTTCTCTCTTTTCAGTTCAAGCTTCAAAGATAAGTCATAAGCAATGGAATTGCCAGGCTTTGATGAATTACCACTTCCAGATCTTCCTTTGTTCAGCACTCTCTCGACACCAGAATTTGAATTCGAGCACACGGCGGAGTGGACTTATGAAGAAAACAAGCAGTTCGAGGATGCTTTGGCTGAATTTGATCCTACCTCGCCATTCTTCTTCGAAAATGTTGCTTCCAAGGTACCATGGAAGTCCATTGGACAGATCAAAAAGCACTACGAGGCACTTGTCGAAGACATAGAGATGATAGAATCTGGTCTTGTCCCCATGCCCGATTATCGTGAAGCTGCAGAGGAGCCTCAAGGTGGCATGGAGATCAAGAATGGGAAAGGATCTTCTTCGTGCGCTAAAAAGCCTAATGACAACCATTCACGGCGAAGGGGGCTTCCATGGACTGAAGAAGAACACAAGTATAGCTCTTAATTAAGCTTTATATATATATATATATATATATATAGATTCATTTAATCTCGAGTTTTTTTCTTTTTCTGGTACTTTGTTTGCAGGTTAGCTTTTGGTGGATTTCCCTCTTCTTGAGCTTAAGAATTGCATGCATGTTAGGTTTTTTTTTTTTTTTTTTAAGAATAATCTTGTTTTTCTATCATTTTCTTGGGTTTTTTTTTTTTATTTTTTTTAAAGAGAGGTGGTTCTATTAAATCTGAATGTAATTTTCTGCAAATTAATTTAATTAATTGATTGGTGAAATAAGATCATAGCTGGATCTATTTAAAATTAAAAATACATAAAAAGACTCTTTTAAAACTTTATTAATTACTTACGTGGACTATTCAGAGGTGATAATCACTATTCTTTTGTCATATATAACAATTTGAGCACTCCATCAAACTAAAGATGCCTACTTAATTAATGTTGACAATTTTCCACTAGTCAAAACACAAATTCCTCCATTGGAACCATTTTCTCTTTCACTTTCCTTCACTTTCTCGGTGGATAATTTATTTTCCTAGCCAGCTAGTCATGAAACTACTGTATATGATTATTTTCTTATGAAGCTCTCCTTAATTTTTCTAGTGTGTCTTAATATTTGTGCATGTTTATTAGCACTTTAATTTCCTTTTTTGTTGCATTCACCTAATTATTTCTGTTCTTTTTCTCTCTTTTTGGATTGTTCGATCATGGAGGTTGTTCCTAATGGGACTAAACAAGTATGGGAAAGGTGACTGGAGGAGCATATCAAGGCACTATGTTGTGACCAAGAACCCTACTCAAGTTGCTAGCCATGCCCAAAAGTTCTTCAGGCGCCAGAACAGCTCCACGCCGCGCGATCGGCGTCGCCCAAGCATTCATGACATCCAGTCTGTCAACTCCACCTCACTCTCGCTGCCTCAGAGGCACAGAGTCCCCCCAAACCCCAAACCACCGGTTCCGGCCATATCCCAGCCTTTCAGCCTTACTCACATGTACAACCCTAATCCCATGACTGGTGAACTGAGTCAGAGTGGCCGCGTTTTCCCACTAGGATCCTCCACATTCCCAATTGTAAACTCTATGGTGACCAACCAACCCTCCGGTGAAGACCATCCATCGTTCCGGCTTCCCTTTTTTCTCGGGAACCAATCATGGGGCTGAGCTCTGAAAGTGAAGACATAAAAAATATAGTTAAAGTTGGTGTCTTTGTTCTTATGCTTTTCCTGTCTGCCTTCGTTTTTCGTTTGGGGAGTGGGTGGGTGAAGAGGGCTTTGTTGTGTTTTCAGCTTTCTGTGTTTGTTTAGTTGTGTCTAGTTCCTAAAATGAAATTAAATGTGTAGTTTGTTTGCAAAACCAGCCTCATGATCGAGTGTCTGAAATTTTGATGACTATCTTTGCTAGTTTGTTTGTCACATATATGCCAATGCAAAGTTTGACTTGTAATTAAGACAAGGAGTGATTCTGGTGATTACTTCATCTCTCATGCATGTCCTTACATAGGTGCGATGGCAACTTGGGGAGGTCAGGTGGTATAAGTGAGATATATATATATATATATATATAATTGAACTACTTATTAGTTATCCATCTTTGGTTTTATAATTTTTTTTAAGGGGACATGCAATGAATGCATTGTCCCCTTTTAAAATTACCAAATTGTCCTATTTAATTTAAATATATATAGTTACAAAATTTGAAATTTTTTAAAAAGATAAAGGACGGTGATGGAAATATAAAGAAAAGATGCTTTAACTTTTCAAAAAGGACAACTAATTTGGGACATGTAAAAAGAAAAAAATGGACTACTGATAAGGGACAAGGGGAGTATAACTTTGATAATTTTGTTGACCTCACCTAAAACTCTCAATAATTATGATTACACACGACCAACTGCACAGTTGCAAGACTGGCTCAACCATAAGACAATTAAAGTAGTCGTCTAAAGCCTCCAATAGAAGAAGAATTCCATCCATGTGAACTTATTATATTATTTATATATTTCTTTTAATGTATTAGTTATGTTTTGTTTGATATATTAATTATTAAATTAATACAATTGCTCTTTTATTGGTTAGTCAGTACAAGTTTCTTTTAATAGGAGAATAATTTTTAAATAAAAATTATTAGTGTAGTATTAATATTAGAGAAGAAACTATATCAGATAATTTCTTGATCTCTCTTCCCAACAATGAATGAAAATGGGAGAAATGTAACTTAATCCCCCTTTTTTTATGATGGTAAATCACTACCTGAACGAATCTTATCCTTTGTGTTAATTCTATTTTTTAATTTTTTTAATTTAGTATAATATAAATAATATATTGATATAGGTTCTTATAAATATATTTTTATTGAATAGCAATTAGAATGTATGATTCATGAACATGAATACCAACAAATAAATCAAAATGTTCTATGGAATCATGAAAAACGGAAAGATTCCTTAGTACTAATTATGCCATTCCATTATGTTGACGATTTTTAAAACTATTCATGTCACGATCATAGTATGATGCCGGGGTCAGGCAAGTATATACGTAATTCACCAATCTATCATGGACTAGTATTAACTCATTTATCCTTTAAAAATACCTGTTGGGGAGGAATAAAAGAAGAATAATGATAGAAAAAGTGAATGATTATATCCGAACTTTCCCCGAATTTGAGTCAAATTGGTTAAAAGACTTTTACGTGAGTATTTTAACGTCTTCTCTAACCTCACGTGGCTTGGGTAGGTTTTGTCTCTTTCAACCTCACAAACCACGTCCTAGCACTCGTGATCCACTTGACTATGATTTGACGAAAAACCAAAAACATAGAAGAAAAGGGAGGAGGGGTCATGAGAGAGTGTGTTCTCCAATTCCGCCTTTGGGAATCTGGCTTTCAAATTTTTTTCTTACCAAAAAGAGTCAAATTATATGTGAGAGGATTCGAAAACTATATCGGATCAACTTCTGGTTGCAATTAGTGTTGGCTTCTATTGAATATTCTCTTTGCTGATTTGATATTTGTGTTTTCTTATCAATTGCAGTACTCGAAGAAACCATTTCATTTTTTCTTTTTCGTTTTGAGATCGGTGATCGAACAGAGTTCAAATTTAGATTGTGGGTGAAAATCATCGTTCCGTAAACAAAACACATATATTGAGGCTTGAGGTCTGGTTAACCCATGTCTTAAGAGGAAATGTTAAAAACTCATTTTATGAATTTTAATGAACGTGTCACGTGATTTCGTCACATAGAGATTCGATAAAAATTCAGGAATAATAATTTGTTCCCCTATCACACTACTTATAAAAAAAATAAAAAAATAAATAGAAATAAATAGAAATTTATGCTATGTCTCCTATTTCCCTCCGATTGTAATTTAATTGATCATAGCACTGCCCTATCAAGGCGGAAGCCAGCTGTGGGTTTGTTCGTGAAAGAAAAAAAGGAAGTAAAATTTCAGGTGTAGATAATTTTAGTAATGTATTAGAAATGTTAATAACTCATCCAATGAGGTGATATTTTGATACTCTGAAGGGTAATCACATTCCGCTCTTCTTGCTGCACATCTTTAATACAATAACACTTTTTGAAGTGCAAATATCACCTCACTTTCACTAATAAATAAGTGGGATAAATTAACGAGAAACAATAATTTTTAATGCAATAGTCAAAATAATATATGGTAGCATATTTATGAGTGTAACAAAAATGCTCACTCCAGCAGCCACTCCAGCATGTAGCATATTTATGAGGCTACATGTTGACTGGTTTCGACTTGTCTTGATCTCATCAGAGGAACTGCTTCAGCTCCCGATCAATTTGTGAGAGGATGGCCAACTCCCTTCTTCATAGTCAAGTCCACGACTAGCGACAAGCTTCTTTAACTGAACCGAGTTGACCTGTCTGAACTCTAAAAAGATACCACCTTGTGGTCCTACACACCCCTTCTCTGGAATCATTCCCAGTCAATTGTTGCTCTTAACCAACCAGCATGTGTATCTTCCTTGCTTGTAGTGTTGTTAGCAATCCATCCGTGGCACTATGCTATAAAACGCGTGATTTGTAAGGTAACTTCAGACCTAATTAATTGACATTCTTTCTTTTTAATTATTTTTACCATGTTGAAAGAATTAATTGGATTTGAATGAATTTACATAAATTAGGAGAATTTATTAATTTATAGTTCCACCTGTTAGCTTGGTTATCCTGAATGAATTTGTTAATGTAATCTTATCCAATGTTGAATTGTTTGGATTCCCCCAAAGGTTTTACAAATTGTGTTTGAAAGATTTGTAAAAAAATATTGTATACTAATATAATTTTGATCTCGTTTTGCACATTCTTGGTAATAGCTCCACTAATATTGCCACAAAGTATATTTTATTTTTCTTTGGAGGCCTTGATGTTTAAGATCAAAATCCAAATGTGAAAGGATTGTACCCACTACATTCTACACCATTAACCCTCACCAATTTCAATTTGCAACTGCTGTAGAGTGTATATACTAGGGCAGAACGGCTCTTAAAGTTTTTTCCTTTTTTAAATAAAATATTTTATTTTTATTTTTATTTTTCCATTTTTGACAAAGGTCTTGGTCAAGATTGAGGTCAAGTCCGTCGAATGAGGCGTGTAAAATAACTTTAATGAATAAGTTATTTTTGTTAGATTTTAATATTTTTTTCTTCGTAAATATCTTACGACAATCAAACGCCAAAAAAAATAAAAATATAGATATATTTTACATCCAAACAAACTGAAGTGTTGTTGGGCAGAACCTGTATAAAGTATTGTGCGGATAATTTGGTGTTGTTTCTGTTAGCGTAGGAAAATACTATCCTCAACTCCAGCCAAATTTTCAATGGTATTACAATGCTTCGAGAATCAAGAGAATTGGAATTGCTACATCATGGCAACACGCAAACGCAGAGGAGGATTCTATATGGCATGAGTAGAGTGAATGTGAAGGTATTGTAGACCCAAGCACAGCATGGCATGAGTAGAGTGGATGTGAAGAATCGTAGAGAGAGTTAAGATTTTAGAATGTTGAATAGTTTGTAGACGTGTGTAGAGTGGAGAGTATTGGATGTGAAGAATGGTAGAGAGAGTCGAAAGATTAGTTTGCAGACGTGTAGAGTAAGTTTGATAGAGTTGTAAGAGAGATTTAGAAGGTAAATAGGAGCTTATATAAGGTAAATTAATAGGAGTTTATATAAGGTGTCATTTGTAACAAGAAGATGCAAGAACAAGGGTGAAAATCTCTGATTTTGTGTAATATCTTTGAGGAGTAATTATATGTTGTATTCCGGATAGAATAGCTATTAGTATTTCTAAATTCACCCCCTGAATAAGAATTAATAATCTTGAAGGCCTCCCTACGAATGTATTTAAATTCTACAATTCTAGAATCTGAAATATAACCACTATTAGGAATCTATTTAAATTTTACAATTCTAGAATCTGAAATTGTGCCTACTTTAATACCAATGGCAACAACCGCATATCAAAATATCAAAATAATAGTAAGTAATTTATCAGTGACATAAAAATATGTTTATATAATAGGGCAAATGAACATTTTATCCCAAAAGCAAACATCAAAAAAATTAAACTGTTTAAATCCCAAAATAACACAAATAGTGCCTTTGATGCACTGACCTAATGGCCAACATTAAATATCACACATAGCTGTCAATCAATGATTTCCTCATCTCATCAACAATGGAGGAAGGTTGGGCTTCTCTCAACTTGAAGACGCTCTCAATGACAGACAATTCTGTTGCTGTAGTGTCTGATCCACAGAATGCTGTCCAATCGTTTACAGTCAAGCCAGCAGCTATCACTTCACTACCACGGTTCACAGTCCCTGCCACCAAAGGGACCTGAAGGAGGGTCGAGAGTTCATCCAAGTCTTCAATGGATGTATGAGGATGGACCTGCCCCAACACCAGTTTTCACTTAGTTTTCACTTAATACAGGAGACTGACATGACAAATTTCACCAAATGTTTTTTAGTAAAAATCTGCATATCAGCAGAAATAATTTCTTACCAAGCCGCCTCTATTGGAGAAGGCACAGTAGCTGCCCACAAGAATATTCCCAGCAACTGTCTGGCGAAAAACTTCAACCCCAAGAACATCTGCTATCATCTCCTCAGTTTCCTGACAACAGTTTACACAGAAAATTAACATGAGAGAATAATACCCAGTAAAGTTATGATGACAAGAAATTATGCATCAGACAGAAAAAGGCATCATTAACTGCATGGTTATAACACTTTAAAATGGGCAATCCACCAAAAGATCCCACCTAAGTATCAGGAAAAATGATAATGCCAAACCAAATTCTTTACTGTGCTTCTAACAAACAGGAAAACCCTCAACATTTTGAAAGCAATCCTTCACGAGCCTTGGATTCCAAAGTATTTGAGAAAATATTGATTAGAATTTACTCTAGATGGATGTTTGAAAAGATAGTCGCATACTTTGTCTAGATCCATCTTTGTGCACCCGCTGTTGAATTGTGGGATCATTTCTTCAAATTTAATACATTTAGTATGTCCTTTGAGGTAACCTAAAACTTTCTTTTGTTCTAGTAATAAAATATTTACTTTAATCACCAAAGCCTTGGCTTGAATGTATGTCCTCCACCTACTCAAAGGAGAGGTTGAGGGCTCAAACCCTGGTGAGGGAATGTGTGTGTGAGTGTATTTACTTATCTATATTTTACTTCATATTTGAAAATGGAATGTGTTTGAGAGAAAGAGAACATACGATGGAATGACGGCAGGGATACTTCAATTAATTTCATACACAAAAGGAGCATAAAAAACGATCAAGGACTCAGTGGGACAAAATTGAACAAGCATGCAGAATTGCTACCACATAGCCTTACAACAAAGGTCAACAATAACACTATAAGTTCCTAGAATTACAGGGACAAACATCAAGTTTAATTTAGTAAACTTAAAGAGTAGAAAATAAAGATACAGAAACTGAATACTAACTGAAAGTGGCTCCTTATTACTGCAGCATTTATCCATAGAATGGGTATATTGAAAATTACAAAAACTGCAAATTACAAGTGCAAATTCCCATAGATGAAGTTGATAAGTGCCTCTGGAATATAGCTTTGTCTCAAATGCTTTACCTAATTAAGGAAAAAATTGTATATGATGGCTATAAGGTCGGGATGTTTTGTGGTATCAGGGCGATGAGAAGTAAATATACAAGAAGATGATAACATTAATGACCTGAATTTGCCAAAATAATAATATTAAAAGGGATTATAACAAGACATTGAAAAATAGAATTTTAGTTGAAAGCACACATGAGGAATCAGTTAGAGGCCTCACCAATTGGGGACCAAACAGGAGGACGTTATCTAAAAGATAATTTAGCAATGTGAAACAACAAAAACCAAAGAACTAGAAGCAACTTCAGAGTCAAGAAGAACATTAAGAATTTTTTCTGAAAACAGAAGAAAGCATTGAGAGAAAGGGAGAGAGTCGAAGCTGCAAGAAGACATAACAGCTTATTATTTTTAAAGAAAATACATCCTAGATCCTGCAAATGGTTAAAAAGGAATCATGTATTCTATAAAGAGTAGTTGAATACAGCTGCATCGTTAAAACAAGTAGACTTTCCCAGGAAAAGAAACAAACCCCATCGGAGTTTTTTAAGGTTTCGGAGATGCCCAAATGGCAGCTCTTCACTCGATACACATGCAAAAAATCATAGTCGAATTGCAAAAGGCAGCTCTTCAATACTGGCACAAAATAGTCAATTTTCAAAGTGACACACACAAACAGCAAAAAAGAACCCTCTGTTCCCGTCATATAAATTTATTGCTACTGTAGGGTTACTTTTACTATTGCTTCTATAAAGGTAAATTATACCCACACAATATCACTCCCACGTTGATAAAAGATGTACTTCCACATTACTAGAAAACCAAGCAGTAGACGAAACTTTAAATATAACATTAACTAAAGCAGAGTAGAGCATGAACACAAACAATAGCTAAAAAGCATCAAAACTTCCACTAAGATCCATCAGTGGTAAAGCACGCAATTAAAAAAAGAGCAATGCTAAGGACAGTCGACTTAGAGACTGTCAATTAACAGTCGCTCTTCTCATTGGTCCTAAGATTTGTAATTAATGCATTTATTAATGGTATGTTTCCTATTTTAATGAACACTAAAAATATTTTTTTTTTGACAATACTACCCTTTTAGTCTCTCTCCTCACTTAAACCATATCAAAGGTGTCATTAATGCATTACATGTTTCCTACTTTTAATAGGACATTAAATTATTAATTTTAACACAAAACTACCTTATTTCTTTCATTTGCCTCTACTTCCCACCCCTTCGTCCGTGTGCATATATAACAATGGATTCTTTTCTTTTCTTTTAGTTATTGTTTAACAGTGAAAGTTGAGGGATAAGATTTTTTTTTTTTTTTTGGTTATTGAGAGATAAGAATTCATTCTCTATATAAGAGATAAAGATGATTTAGTTAGTAAAGGATAAAATTAGATGATAGCAATTGATACACACACACACACATATATATAATTAAAAGACAATTGACAAAAAAAAGTAAGGGACGGAGTTGTTTATATGTTTATATACATACGCAGTCATATGGATTAAATGAGGAGAGAGAAAAAAAAAAAAAAAAAAGAAAGAAAGAAAAGGAAAGTAAGTTAATTTTTTCTTTCGGTAAATAAAGAGAAGAGTAGTTTTTTTTCCTAAATAAAGAGGAAAGTAGATGTTTATATATGTATATATATACACACTGTATGTATATGCATTCAAGTGAGGGGGGGTTGAAAGGGCAGTATTGTCAAACAAATATATATTTTTAGTGTTTTATAAAAATAAGAAACAAACTATTAATGAATGCATTAATTACAAATCTTAGGACCAATGAGAAGATCAACTGTTAATTGACAATCGCTAAGGTGACTGTCCTTAGCATTGCTCTTAAAAAAATTTAAGGACATAAATTAAATAAAAATAGTAAGAGGGCAGTAGTGCATATAATATAATAATCTTTGTGAAATTTATTGAGTTTCATCTTCCATACTATGCTACAATTGGCATAGAAAATCAAAAAATTAATTAAAATAATTGTCATGGCAGTGCCTTTTTATTTTTATTTTTTAAGGATTCACTGTATCAATATATCCATGTAGCATCATGTCACCGCCTGCTGCTCATGTATGTGCTATTAGTATTACACACATCTTCAATTGCAGGAATATTCTAGGAGCTTCAATAGACCTTTTGCAAGTGAAAAAAGAAAGGAGAAGGGAAAATATCTTCTTCAAATTAATTAGCAAAAGAAATTAGATTTCCAAAGATTAGCTAAGTAGTAGAAAACTTTACCCTGTCAAGATCAGTGTGTGTAAGAGCAACGTGATCATTGCATGCAATGCAATTCCCTAGAGCAGACAGTCTCTCTTCGACGCGCTGAACAACAACTTGATCTGGCAGACTATTCCTCAAGTGCTGAAGTTCTTCAGTATGAATAAGAAAAATATGAATGTGAGGCCCGTGTCTAAAACACATATGAATCCAAATCAAACTGTACATTCAACAAGACCAATACTATGTTAAGTGTAACATCTTTCTGAAGAACACAGCAATCTATGGCTGTTTACCATGAAGTGGTAAACGTTGTGAAACTATAACACGATGACAATAAGCTTCACAAATCATCAACTAGAAGTAATAAAACAATAATTATAGACTCACTTCAGCTATTTGAACTCAGTAAGTTAGAGATGGTTTAAGTGATGATTCTCTCAAAGGAATCAACAAATAAGAATGAGCAACACGAATATCTTTTCAACTTATTTTGAAGGTTGCTGAAAAAAATCAATCACTTGAATACATAACTGCCTCGCAAACCACTCCAGTATAACAAGAAATGAAAATTTTAAACCTTCTAAATTATCTTCCCTTTGATTTTAGTTGCATTTTATACAAAAAGGCACTTGAAAGATTTAATTTAAATCTAACAATACCATTAGCTATCAAGATGGGAACTAAACAACCTATTTATATAAGTAACAAAATAAAGACATTGAATGTAGCGATTTGTTCGAGGCCGTAACCAAAATCGTGATTCATATTTGGAAGGCACGGAGAATCGATTTTACATGTCGCCAACTTTCAATGCAAGTGTTTCGTCACCTAATCAGACGCCCTTGCTCTGCTAATTGGCTGTTCTTTCTCATTACAACCTTTGCCCAAACAAATTATGACAGTAATACCTAAAAGTAGATTTTGAAAGAGAAAGAGATGGATAAAGGAAGAGCTTTGCCCAAATAAAAGCTAAGAACCTCTAGAGCAATAGCAATAACAAGAGAATATTTGTTACAAGATTACCATCAACTAACTCACATTTCAAACATGCTTCTCACCCGTTCATCTTTCCCACATGCGTATTTTGACACTACCTATATCTATACCAAGTCGGTAGTATGTGTAAGCAAATAGCATTGCAAAAGTGTGCCTCCCAGTACTCAACTACCACTTAATTTGGAGCCATATCAATATGGCTTCCCGGACTCAAACCACCACAGCAATGCCACCACCGCTTAGACAGTTCCAGAGACCACGTACCTGCTGTCCCAAACACCCCACACTCATTGTAACTCGTTGGATACCAAAATAAGGCCAAGTCCTCAAGAGAATTCTGAAGAAGGCGTGTTCCTGTCACTGTTTTCAGAACCTGCAGCAGCAGGGAGGACCTCATTCAAGAAGGTCCTCAGAGGTTTTCCATCACTCCACCTCATGAGAGCCATTCAATTTTATTTCACTATTACTTTTTCATGGGTCTAACAAAACTATATATATATACACACTCATATATTAGTCATCAGTCAAAATGGATTATCTTGTCTGTAGATAGAATTGGACTTATTTTCCTCTTACTCTGTGGGGACCAATGCCTCAGCTTGGCAACTCAAGGGGAAGTGATTTAGTTCTTGGTGAATTATTTATTTTATTTGTAATGCTTGGTCTTCTTTTTGTATCTTCATTTAAGCTTTTATGTTATTCATTTTTCAAGTGCACCCTGTGCTGTGCTTGAGAGTAACTCCAACAGGGTGCCTTTTGTCTGGAACTCTCTCTCTGCTATCTGCCACTCTCTCAAAATGCTTAATCCAAATAATTTTAGGTAGCATTAGATGTATAAACACATATACAAAACATTTATAACAAATTCAAAGAGGTAGAGTCAATGGTCAAAAATTCCATATGAACATAAAGCATAGCACTTATGCACAAGGGTCAAAATTTTCAATTGTCCTTCAAGAACAAAAGAACGCAAAATTCTTTATGGTGCTGCAAGGGAGGAAGATGCTTCTGGAACTGGAAAAACAAAAAGAATCATAACTCTGAAAAGTACTTTTCCTGCAGGAATTGTATAAATTATATTTTCAAACTAAGACACTCACATAGTCATAAACTTCATCTGAAACTTAGAGGTAGTTAACACAATGATTATCTCAAAGAAATTCAATAAAAAAAAATGACCAAAATGAATGTTTTTTTCAACATATTTAATGGCTACTGAAAAATATCAATCACTTGAATACATAACAGTCTGGCAAATCACTCTAGTATAACAAGAAAGGAAAATCATGGGAACTCAATTAATCCTTCTAAATTATCTTCCCTTTGATTTTAGTTGCATTCTATACGAAAAGAGACTTGAATGATTTAATTTAAATCTAACAATACCACTTAACTATCAAGATTGGACCCAAACAACCCTTTCCTATGAGTAAGAAAATAGAGATATTGAATGTAGCTATTTATTCGAGGCTGATTTATATTTCAAAGGCATGGAGAATCGTGCCTTCAATACAAGTGTTTCGTCACCTCTAATTGGCTATTCTTTCTCATTATAACTTTCACCCAAACAAGTTATATACATATGACAGTATACCTAAAAGTATATTTTGAAAGAGAAAGAGATAGGTATAAAGGAAGAGCTTTGCTCAAATAAAAGCTAAGAACCTCTCGAACAATAACGAAAATAAGAGCAACATAAATAAGAAATCCAAGCTAAAAAAATAATATCTGCCACAAGATTACCTTGGTCAGTGGTATTGTGAGGTAAGAGGAGCCCATTTTTGTTTCCTGCAATTAAATTCAAATGATCATATGGAGATATTTAAAAAAGCTCAAATATCAAAAAAGTGTTCTTTATATAAAACTACAAAGAGCCTTCAAAATCCACACCAGCACAAAGCCGACCGATTATCCTAGTTCCTGCAATGGAGGTCTTGACGACGGGGATAGCATCTGCTAACTCAGATTCGAAAGTGCTGCACACAAAACCATAATGAAAATTTAGCCTATTCAAAACCCAGTAAACAAAAGAAACGAGATTCCACACTTCCCCAACATACAAACGAACCTGTAGAAATTCTCTGAACCTCCAATTGCGACCAAACAATACGCATTGGTCAGTTTCGAGAACACTCCAATTTCACATGAATTCTCAAATTGAAGTCCTGCACAAAGTCACCCACAAGAAATATTCACATGCTAACAATAATTATTGATACATACATGTATTGCACAAATATATATGATTGCGAATACACACAAAAGATAGTCCTTTGGAGAACTTACTAGTTGCCATGATGAGAAGAAAACGAACCGAACGAAGATTGATACAGAGAATATGGATCTGCGTTTGTGATAATTCACGCGTACTTGGTTCAGGAAACATATACGAATATATATACAAAAAGATTAAGGAGAAAATCGTACGAAAGCATGTTTTCCAGGATCAGAAGTGAAGGTGAACTAAACCCTAATTAGAAAAATTGATTACCTGAAGGACTAGTATTCAGAGAGTTCAGGTCGTCGAAAGGGTTTCGTTTTGCCCAGCTCCGCAGGTTTAACAAACACCAATGTCCAATTAGGGTTTTATGCTAGGGTTTTTTTAATTGTCCCAACTCCAAAATAAAAAGGGGACTGATTTTTATTTAATACGTAGTAGCTTATAATTTTATAATTTTTTTTTCCCTAAAATAACTTTCAATAATTGTCAAATTCTTACCCTACCAAGTGTCAACATGTGGTGAAGGAATTAGAATACTTTCTAATGCAAAATAGGACAATACTTAAATGCGTGTTACAATAAATATTTTTTAACATCACTGTTACCTTCTCTATTAAAAAAAATTAAAAATTAACTTCTCTTTTAAAAAAAAAAATTAAATTGTTCAAATTTAAAATGTTTAAAAATAAAAATCACATATTACTTCTATGACGAGATGTGTTATTGATAATTTTAATTATTAAAGCTAATATTGGATCAGAAAAGTTGAAGAGCAACCCAGAAAACATAAAACCTTTAAACATGAATCTAACCCATGCTCAAATTTTCAAAATCGAGTTGAAAAAAGCGTGCTTCAAATTGAGTTAATCTCGTGTTAATTTTATATTAGAAAATTTATATCCAAAATCTCAAAAAATTATGTACAAAAATCAAGATTTTAAAAAAATAAATCAGAAAACATGGTAGATCACTATTATAAACGTATATGTGTGTGTATATTATAGATTAATATAAATTAAGTTAATATTCATCTTCAACTCGAGTTGAGCTTCTTCTATTAAAGAGGTTTTATTTCACAATAAATTTGGACATATAAGTGCGGGTATACAGTATTACTTAATAATAGGCTAAAAAAGACATGTTAGAGATAGAAATTTTATTTTCTAGTTTATTATTAGGTAATGCCGTACATATATATAAGTTAATCATAATAATAACTCTTTACCTACTTTAGTATTTCTTACTTATCACTTTAAATTATAATTTTTAATTTTTTTTTTTATTACTCCCTTAATTTATAATTTTAGCTTGAGCCCTAAAATAAGTATAGCATGTTGATCATGATAATAACTCTTCACTTATGACTCCCTTAATTTAAAATTTTAGCTAATGATAGAGAAATTTACATATTAAAAAACTGAAACAATTGATCCATTTATTTGTTTAACTTTACGTTGCAATCCAACTCAATACAATATTATACTAGTCATTGGAAAGATGACATTGACCAAACAATGAATCCAATCCCCAGAATTCCTTTTTCCCCCTCAACCTGTCAAATGAAGAAAAGTCTCAATCCATTCCGGCACGTTTTGCTTGGCCTCCAAGCAGTCCTCGGTTTGTGTGGTGTACGGTGGCCTGCCAATCTTTTCCTCGCAAGTCAAAGATACTCCCGCTATCTCATATTAGTAATTTATTTTTTTATTTTTACGTATCTCAAATTAGTTATTCCCTTTAAAAAGTTAAAACATATTTTCATTATATTTCTATCATTATCCTTTATCTTTTTTAAAATTTTCAAACTTTATAATTATATATATCTAAATTAAAAAGTATAATTTAGTAATTTTAAAAAGGATTGCATGTCCCCTTAAAAACTCTAATTTTTAAACATGGACTTCTATTGAGGGATGGAGGAAGTAATGAATAGACCTCTCCTAAATCACATAGGAACGAAAGTGAATTCGAAAGCGGGAGCGTAAGAGCGATAAAATTAAGTTATAAACTATCAGAATTTGAGTGAAAACGAGCGCGGAGCCTAAGAGCGAGAGCGTGCTCGGAATGTAAAAACGACATTTGTTGAGAAGAATTGTGTGACGTAAGTCCTGTGGTGTGTAGTGGAGACGTCAGGCAGGAATGTTCTAGTAAGGCAGGCCCACCGAGTCCAACTACACGTGGTGAGTTCGTTGTGATGCCAAATGGGCCTGCTGATAAGACGGCCCAAGTTTTCTGCCCCCCTTTGCTGGCCGCTAATAAACCCAATACTTGTCACTTACTTGAAGTTGGGTTAGTCCAGATAGAAGCCCAATTGATATTGGGTCGACTGATTTAATGCTAACCGTGTCTATGATCTAGCCTGTGAGGCTAATACTGAGCCAAGTCCAGGTAGTAAAATTTTATGCAATTTTGTGTTTCGGGCCCCACTTGCTAAACATCATTAACAAATGCATACATTTGAATATGTATTGAATATATATATACACACACACATAAGTTTGCAGCAACCGATGTAGAATTATTAACAAAATTAAAGATGGTGTCAAATAATGATCTATTTTATTCACATTATACCATCACCTCCTACAGAATTTTGGTCAGAGAAGGTTTTCTCTTTTTTATTTTTCCGGACAAAGAACTCCCACAGTGCTCTTGATTCTAGAAGTAAAGTTGAACACAGCAGAGTGACAAAAATAGAAACTTCTTAAGTACTGGTCAGATAGGAATTTCATAAACAGGAATTTCTCAAACCTTCAAATTCTCCAAGTTCGATCATAAGAAAGGGGAGTTACAAAGACATTGCCAAGTTGGCTAAAACAAAAGCCAGAACAAACCCACTGACATGTTTAAATCAAAATTAATGAAAGTAGTAAAGAAAGACATCTAAAGCAAACATAGTTATTGACAACATTATTAACTGATGACATAAAAAATTCAGGTCTCTAAAGCATACATAAACCTCAACAATACATGGAAAATTCAGGTCAGATTTTGCCGGGAACTGGTCTGAACCAGTATAGCAGTATACTACAAAGGCAACGCCAAAGGCTGATAGGGTTCAAGGCTGTTCAAGCAACTTGTGCAATTCGCTGCACTGCAGAATTTCCGATAACAGAGAAGCTACTCGCTTTGTCTTGAATATCAGCATCCTACACTTTATCATCTTTGCCTTTATCCCGTGCCAATATCAGCATCCTACTGCTGTTTAGCTCAAAATTTTCTAAGCCGTCCCTATTACAGTTGAGGGGTGCAGGATCCTCTTCCAAATTAGTGAACCACAACTTCTACTGGGCCACACCGAACATTAAGAAAAACAGTAGCTCTCAGCTTTCCAGGTAACGAAAAACTGCCATTGGGAGGCTATTAGACCCTTTGATAGCTGTAGAGGAGGGGGGATGACAGTTGCAGTAGAAATATAAACTTAACCATGTAAGGGATTGTCGTATTCCCAAAACCAAACATATCACTGAGTCAAGAGTTAAACAGACAGAACATAGTGCACAAAAAGCAGCCCCAAAACAAATGGTTAAACAAATGGAGTCAGTGTCAGTAATGGAAGTTAGTTCCCCTATCCATTTAAAGCTGCTCATTCCTTGCTTGCTTGTTCGGAATGCAGCAAAGCCGCTGTGGTCTTGATTAGTATGGCTAACTTGCGCTTGGGCGTATTCCTCAATATGAGCATGTAATACTGAGGTTGTAGGACCAAAGTTTCAAGGTTAAATGAAGATGATACTGCAGGCAAATAACAACCTAGTGCCAAATGGTATCCATAACAGCCAGAGTAATATTTAATCCAGAAATACTTCTGGGGTTTTAAAGGAGCAGCAAAGGGTCAAGCACTTCCCTTTTCCTCATAATCTGATTATGAGATCGCCCCTGAAAACATAGGTTGTCCCGCTGAACCTAATAGAATGTGCCCTTCCCTAATTTCCGATCCTCATCTTGAACAACTTATGGAGGTCTTTTTAGTTACAAATTGAGCTTTATTGCATCTATAACACATGCATTAAATCATACATATTCCTCTTTCGTTCCAAAGCTGAACTTCAAGAGATATGATCTTCAAGCATGGTTTTATAGTAGATTGATTCAAGCAATAAGATGCACCACAAACTTAACAAACTTCTATTCCTCAAGGGAATACTAGAAAAAAGGTCAGTGCTGTATTAGTAAGAGTGTAAGACAGACATCATATTATTTAGACCCAAAAAACAAGTCTACAAATAGACTCAAAAACTTGACTTTGTTCCAGGTAGAATCTGATCCAGACTTGCTACCAACCATACCCAGATTCCATTTTGACTATGGTATTGTCTACAAGAACATGGTCATACTAGCTATAGAAGAATAGTGGATAATTTATCATTATGCTGTTATGATTTAGCCATACTATTTGGCTAATGAGACACCGTTTCACATTTACAAAGCAGTTAAGTACTGGACGGTAAAAGGATGCGCTAAACTGTCTATGGAGTCCTTCTTCACCCACTAGACAGAACAATAATGCTAGTACTAAAGTTGGTATAAACTTTAACACTGTATTCGACTAAGCTAGAGAAGATGGAGAAGACAGAAGCAGGTTCAAGTTTCTCTAGGAAAAGAAACTAGCCCAGGAGCAGTAATACTACTCATCAATACGTGAAGCGAGGGAAAGTTCCACTTTTCCTTTGTCATCATCTTTGAACAGAGGTCTCACTTCGGCTGTAAAGGTAAAGAATCTTCCAGGCATAGCAGTTATAGCTGCAACACTACCTTGCATTGCAAAAGATGAAGATGAGCTCCACAGAAGGCGCTACCTAAAGTTCCCAAAAGGAACTACCAAAAGCTTCCACACCTCTATCAAATAGAGTAGGTGAAGGAAGTGTAGGAGGCATTGTCTGAAAACATTTTGAGATAAGGTAAACTCATACTTCATTTAACATTTAGGGATATTACATAATACATACAACATTTTTCAACCACATTTTGCTGGTTGAAGACAATCAATTGTACATCTTATTTTAGATCAAGAACATAATAAATACAAGTGGAAAAGAGGGAAAGGGAGAATGGGAGATATTAGGACCAAAAAAAAATCTACAACTTGAGAAGAAGGATCAAAACCATATCTGAAAAGCTAGTGCCTCATTAACTGTGGGCAGAAGGTTCCTCTGAGATCTCGGATTTCTTCAAACCCACTGACAGCTCAATTTCCCTGTACAATAAATAATAAAACATAAGGTATCTCACTTTAGATCAGGATTATGTTGATTTTATATGCTGTTCATACCAAACCTTTTATTCTCTCTTCTAAATTTATCATTTATAAAGGAAGGGGAGGGGAGATATTCTAGTCCTAGACAGATGCATCTAATCAGTGTAAGGACGAAATCTTCACCACTTTAAGGTGAGAATCCTATGCAATGAATTTCAGTCTACATACACTAGCATCCATAGAAGAGTTAATTTATTTTTAAGTGAATCAAAAGTCGATAATTGAATATATAACAACATACCCAGCAAAAATTTTGTTGTGTGTCACTTGGTCCTAAACACTGCAAAATCTTTCCTTCACGTGCTCATACCATTTCGCTTCCGTTTGTTAGACCTTGAACAGCAGCATATCTGATACCAAGCTTTCTTCTGCTTAACTGGTTGTGACTTGACGCCCCTCTTTGCAACAAGTTCAGCCATGTACTTTACAACAGACTGAGAAGTAGAAAATCATGAATAACTTTGGAACAAAAGCAACAGATCCCATATAATCACATTGGAACAAATGAAATTTACCTGTGGACCTATTTCAAGTATATTGTTTGGTGGAACTTCAATAGGATTCCCTTCCACGCGTAGTATACGTAGTCGCAATAGCATCCCAAAGGAATCCGGAAGGACCCGTATTTGATTATTGCTAATATCCAACTCTTCAAGCATTTCAAGGTTCCCGATAGACCTCGGAAGTGATCTTAAATCAGCAAAATTGTTGCTAATGTTTATCTTGACAAGTGAAGTAGCAAAACATAAGCTCTCAGGCACCGACTCGAGCTCATTAAAACTTACATCAAGCTCCATCAAGCTTGATAAAGAAGACATTGTGGTAGGCAATTGTTTAATGTTATTGTAACGTACAGTTAAAATTTCCAGGGATCCAAGTCGCCCTACAGCTTCAGGAAGGGCTTTAAGACGGTTATAGTCAGCTCGAAGCTCCTTGAGTGAAGACAACTGGCCAATTGTGTGCGGAAATTCTTCAATGTTATTAGTCTCTACATTCAATTTCTTGAGGCTGACAAGAGACCCTGTTGACTGAGGGAGTGTAGAGAGCTGATTCGAGCTCAAATCAAGCTCCTCGAGATGGACCAATTGGCCGAATGCAGGAGGCAGATGTGTTAGCCGGTTAGCCCTCAGGTCAAGAAAGACCAGGCTAAGGAGATTGACAATGGACTCTGGGAGTTCATTGATTCTGTTTGAATGAAGATCCAATTTTGTCAATGATGCAAGTCCTCCAATCGTTGCTGGCAAGGTCACAATCTGATTCTCAGACAAATCTAGCGTGATCAAACTTGACAACTTCCCGATCGAATCAGGGAGCCAATCAATTTGGTCCAACAATTTATTCTGAAGATTAAGATCTCGAGTGCCTTTCTTTGAAGATACTTCAATCAGACTAGCAAGCTTTATTAGACTGAATTTCTCAGCATCTTGACCTACAAAATAAACCATTGTTTTCACATAAAACAAAGAACTTAAACAAAAGGATCATAATGAATACTCCTTCTGTTCAGTCTTAATTCCAATACTACACATTCACTAAAATAAAAAAATTTCAAAGTTCAAGCATATCCCCATATCCCAATCATTCTAAAGAAGAAACATTACCGTAAACACAAGTTAACAACAGCCAAAACTCGAAAGGCATGAATTGATGCCAATGTAAAAGGGGAATGAATCTCACCTGAACTCCTTGGAGATTTTAGAGTGGAATCCATAATCTGCGTTGCTGACATGTCGCTGGGTTGAAATCGAGAACCAATTCCATCAACATATAATGCGGACTTCACCTTCTTCAAATAACTGTCATCTCTGGTGAACAACTCCGAATTCCTAACAGGATCTTTCTCATAGTACAAGCTCGACGACGAAGTGGTAGTGGTAGCAACAGGCGAATTCAACTCCCGACCAGAAAAGGAAGCAGAATTCATCAATGAAAATTTGCTCGAATTCGTGGACAAATTGGAGGTGCTGGGGTAATTGGATTGATGAGAAATGGAGGCCGGGTTGGAAGAAGCGCATTTCGCAGCTCTCTGGATCAAATCACCGAACAGGGTGTGGATGTTCTCAAGATCCAGCAATCTCATAGCTTCCCTCTTCTGTTCTTGGCTCTGAAAATAAACCAAACTCTTCTGCATCTCTTGTAACACCATGAACAGCTCTTCGGGCACGTTGGCACTCTTCGTCTGCCTCGCTATGGCCTCAATTCTCAGCTGGTCCTCCTTCTCCACGTTCTCAATCAATGTCTTCGCAGCTTCAACCTCATCAATCTCAGGTCTCGTCGGCAAAGATCTGTGAATTCTCATGATCTCTTCAACCACCTCATCAATTGATTTCAGAGACGGCTCCATTTCTTCCCAAACAATCAGAACTACAAATATCTAATCAAAACTGTTTTTTTTTTGGTTTTCCAAAGCAACCCCAGATCAAAAACAAAGAAAACGAAAGGAAAAAACTGAATCAAATTCAACATTATCCATTAAAAAAATATACATCAATATTCAAAGCAAACCCAGATCAATAATAGAGAATATGTAACAAATTATATAAAATTCAACAATGAATAATTAATATAATTATAATAAACAAGACTTCAATCAATAAGATTGAACCATGGAAATGAAAACCAGCTCTTGCCGTATTTAGTGAAAAGCGCACACAGTAACAAACAAAAACCTCTAATAAAATAAACCAACCCAGAAAAATAAAACAAAAATAAATAAAAATCTATGAGAAAAATAGAGGGAACAACCTTGTTAGGACTTAGGAGCGTTCGAATTTCATATTTTCGTGTGTGATTAATCTGTGGGGAGAAAAACCAGGTACTGTGTGAAGAAATGGGTCTTTGTTCGATGTATGGAAAATCCAGTGACTTTGTAATAATTATACAAATATTCTGCTCCATTACATCTCTCCGTTTTGTGTGATATATATAGTGTATTACAATATATGAATATAGAAAATTTATCTGATAATTCGTGGAAAATACACCTTGGATTCGATTATCGAATGATTAGCCGTTGATAAGATCTACTCACGCTTGCGTTTTCTACTTTTTATTGTGCTCTTATCTTAATTTCCATAATTGACCTCCCTTTGTAGGCGGAATAACAAAACTATCATTTTGCCTTTCTTTAATCTTAACCATTTTAAAAAACATTAACCGTTCTGTTGTATAGAATTGCAGTCTTAAAAAAAAAATTGTATAGTTAGAGTAAAACAATTAAGATAATTGAATTAAATTTTTTTTTCAAATTCCATCAATTTTAATTCCAATACTTTAATTTTATGCAACTGTCCAAATTTCATACGCTAGAAAACACTCTAATTACTTTAATATTTTTCTAAATTTAACATGTAAAGTTATTTTATAAAATAACAATTTTATCCTCCACTATTACTGGTATAACACTTAAAAGTCACTTTCTCGTTTGCCCAAAATCAAATATGCATATGGTAATTTGTGGTTTTTAAAGCATGTAACACTTATTATATCCAAAGTTCAACCTTCCACCAAATCGAGAAGAATTTACCATTGACCCATGTGCTTAAATGGTTTTTTTTTTTTTTTTTTTTTTTTTTTTTTTTTTTTTTTTTTGCCATCAATAAATAAACATTTGAGCACTAAAACACGCTAATTAATACCACAAATTATGTTACAAATGATTGAAATTGCATCGCACAACAAGTGTTATATGTGCATAAAAGCTTCCAGAAGATTCTCCGACCCGTCCAAAATAATATGCAAAAAGGAATTTGTGGATTTTATGTTGCATTTCACTTATTTTTATTATTATTGAAATTGCATCGCATGCAACATAATTATTTCGAAAATGCAAATACAATTACATTGATAATGCAATACTGAAAATAATTGGTGTTACATGTGTATTTTAGATGGAATAAACGTTGCACCTAATTTTTATGTTTGAAATAGTATTTGCATGTATATCAAAACCGCGTCATGCTGATATATAATAAAATATATTATAATTTCTAAATAAAGTTGTGAACTTAAAACATGCGCATGTGTATTCTCCTTTACGTCTTTGAAACTTTAATTCTATTTTTAAAAAAAAAATTGACAAATTCTCAACCATCTAACTAGTAAGAATTTACCATTGATTTACTACTTACCAAAGCAGTGAAGTACATTATAATTTATGCATCAAGTTGTGAATTTGAAACACACATACGACATACGTACATGTATGTAATATCTTTTACGTCTTTAAAAATCGGCCTTATATTTTCAAAAAAAATATTTGACAAACTCTCACCCATCTAAATTAACTAGTAATAATTTATCATCAACCCATATGCTTTGATATATATTTTTTCTTTCAAAGTGTTACATGGAGGAGTTAAGTCTCCTCAACAAAATTGGTTTCACATCATGCCTATCGTGTATGTCAATAATATATGATCTCTTGTTCATAAATTTACAAATAACTATTATTTATTAGTTACGTAATAAAACTACGGTTTGATCCAATGTTATTTCTTAAATTTATATTTTCAATCTCAAATAAAAAAAAAATGCAAATAACTTTATTATTTTCTTGTGTAACAAGTTGAATAAAGTGAGAGTACGTACAAAGAAATTTCAAATTCTAAAAAGTTATTTCAGTTAGAGCCCGTCAAAATTTGGGCAAGGCAACGCGAACCTAAGCTATACTCTATGCCGGACCAAATTTTTCACGAGTTTTTACAATTTGGATTAGAATTGGTTATAAATATCAATACAAACTTAATTATGGTTACTCAGAGTTCAAATATCACCAACTCGATATGAACCAAAATTCTACATTTATTTTTAATGTTTTTATAGTTTCATGTATATTATATACATTTCAAAATCTTAATCACGACTAGCCATTAGATTAGTCTTCCAACTCATCAACCCGTTGCATCGTGACCCTCTAAAGCTTAGAGAAATTATAGAGGGTCCTAAACTAATGACATTTGAGAAAATGATCATGAGGAATTTGGGGGAGGGAGGGACTAAAAGATCAACATCGCATGAGACTCCCATTATTGCATGGTTGGGGCAAACTAGTACTATGTAATTAAAAATTGAAATTTTATTAATCAATCGCAATATGATGTCTTTTTTATTTTATTTACAATATTATTCTTATCAGTGAATATATTGAGCAATATACAATCCAAAAATTGATAAATTTAATAACCCAAATAGTTAGTAATGGAAAATGAAATGGAAAAAAGAAAAAATAAAAAATATAATAAAATAGAGTAGATGGAATGATAAGTTACATGTAAAAGAAGAAGTTTTGAAGGAAAAGATTTTGAAGGATTAAATTTTATTCAACAATTGTTTTAATTTTTGAAAATAAAAAAATTGATTACTTTGATTTCACTTTATGAAAATATGTCATTGTTACCTTAATGAAATATTAGGAGAAAAATATAACATTTTAACAAAACAAAACACAATTAGCATGAACAATTAAATAAATGCTAAGAAAAGTATATAATATTTTAACTAAACAAAACACAATTAGCATGAACTAAATAAAGAAATTCTAAGAGAAAATATAATATTTTAGATAAACAAAACATCATTAGTTAGCAGGAACAAAATATAGAAGTGCTTAAATAACCTATACAAGAAATAATTATAAAATATGTCATCAAACAAGTGACAATTAAAAATATTAGTATGTATAATAATATTATCTTTACTGGCATTATTGTCATATTGGTGTCACAGTATTTTAATTTTTTCTATTTCACACGAAAATGAGTGACTAGGAAAGTTTATGTATTTTTATTAAATATGAGGAGACATTAATGAAAATTTGCTTTATATCTCTTGAATTCATATAATGGATATTCTAGCTGTGTATATGTAAGTGTAAATGTAAACAAAACAATGATATTGCAGTAAAAAAAAAAAAAAAAGAGTTGAATTTATACCTTTGTTAGACAAGATTTGAGCTTCAATTAAAATTTTGTATTAGTTTTGAGATGATACAAATTATTTTTATTTGTAAATTCATAATTATTGGGGCAAGTAACTAAGTGCTTTGAAATTATTATTATTATTATTATTATTTGGAAGGGCCAATGAATATTTTTTATGAGTTTTGGGAGTCAAAAGTAGAGGTATTTATATAAACTAACAATTTATGTAGGGTATAAAAAACATTTTTAGGGGTTTGGTAACAAATCTTAGCTTGTTTATTGGATTAGTTAGCAGTGTCAAATGGTTCATGATCATTTAATAATTTATCTCAATAATGTCCACAATCACACGAATATTTATATATGTCTAATTTTATACTTGTCGTACCAATATACAAGTGTATTTGTATGATTTTTATATCGATATACAAAGTACAAAATTGAATTAAATATTAGAATCCCCGAACATGATTGTGAATAAATTAAATTAAAAAGAAATAAAAAAGGTTATAATTTAATAGGCAAGTTCACCGATATTTTTCATTAATAAATAAATTAAAGTGTATTTTTAATTAATAAATTATCAAAGAAATTGTTTTTGTTGGCTTTTATTTTGTGATTAAAAAGGACAACCTTGGTTTAAATATAACCATGGTTAAGTTTTAGGCTGGTAAAGTTAAGGGTTAGGGTTTATGTTTGAAGTCCCCAACTGGCGTCCGTTGGTGTTGCGGCAACTGGCAAGCAATCCCCGAGGCAAGAAAGAGAGAGAGAGAGAGAGAGTGAAGAGAGACAGAGAGCTGCCTGCTTCAACTTCGCGAGACAGAGAGCTGCCTGCTTCAACTTCCTGCTCTCATCTCTCTCACATCTCTCTCGATATCGCTTTAACTGAATTCAATCTCAGGTCTGTAACACAATGATCGCCCCCAATGTATTTTCAACACGTGATACGTACACACAGTCACACACACACATGAATTCGATGTTGAACTGTTGAATTGTCTCCTGCAACTCGAACTTTACCCTAGCTCACATGATAAATTGTTAAATTATATATATATATATATATATATATATATTTATACTTATACATATTTTATGCTATCTAATTTTAGGCTATTCGGTTACTGTTTTCAGAGAGTAGTGCATTGTATGATTTTCTCTCAATATGGGATCATATAGCCTTGTGACGCGTTTTGTATTTGATTTTTTTGTTTTTGCTTATCAAAAGAATTGATTTTTCTTAATAAGAGTACCTTATGGTAAGAAGGGTTGTACTTTTTTTTTCGTTTTGATTGGAATTTCATACTCATAAAAGATAGAAATGTATCACATGTGATGAATAACTATGTTATACAAGCATCAGATTATTAGCCAAAACAATTCTGAGGCTTACATACGGATTTTGGTTGCTACATGCATGCACACATACTGTTGTTTCCCATCTTTGTAGGTTTGGTTTATTACTTTCCTTATTCCATGGCCTTATACAGAAGTATCACTAGCATCACGGTCCCACAGAGATCATGGGAGTGGAATTAGAATCTGAGATGACAGGACTTGATGAAATTGAGGATGTTAATTTTAGCGATTCAGAGCTGGTCTATCACGTTCGGGATGCCCTTAGATTAGTTACCCTGGTAAGCTTTCTCCAAATATACCTATGTTGATTGTTCAGTTCTCTTGTAACACCATACTGTTATTACAATATCAGGTATAGTAAGAGCCAGTCAAAATATACCTTTTTTATTATAATAAAAAGTTTTTATTTAATGTTCGTATTCTTGATTGGCAAATTTGAATACCCGACCACAGGATTTTTGAGTTGATTTATATTTGGCACATAGGTGTTCACTGTTCAGCATTGCGAGTAACTTCATTTTTTCCCCTTCCGGTGATAGTTTATCTACATGCGTGTTTAATGACCTATGGATATTTGATGGTCTGATTGTATAACAGGAGTTGTAGTGCATGTTAGGACAAGGCTTTGTCATTCACAAGCATAATTTCTATATGTGGATTCAGGTGTATTTTCATTGGACCATACCAAAATATATTTGTATCGTTCAATATAATGCTGAATTATTAGAGCCCAAATCTTTTGATAGTTGGTAATCATTTCCATTTTTCTTTTTGGTAAATATATGGTAATTATTTCAATCTGATTTTCTTAGTTAATTAATATATGATAATTATTTCAGTCTGATTTCCTTATTTAATTTTCTTTAAAAAAATATATAAAATTAATTTTTTGATTTCCAGTTTTCTTTTTGGCCAGCTTTATGGAATATTTGCCCCTTTTTATTCTCTTAGACTTTATAGAGAAAAATGGTAGTCCTTTTGATGCATAGAAAGTAAGTGTATTGTTTGGCATATTTTTTTTTTCTGTCGACGTGTGCTTTGATGTCATAACTTGTACAAAATCTGAATATTTATGACCAGGGTGACAGCAACAGTTATAACCAGCTGATTGGGGTCATCCACCACACTGAACATCTCACCCCTGATGAGGTTGCTCTTCTTGTGGTAGGTTGCTACTCAAAAGCAAACTTCAATTCAATTGTAATCTTTGTTCTATAGTTACTTTTCACATTTATTTTTATTTTTTTGTGTGCTTGGCAGACATGTTTAAAAGCACTATCTGGAGCAGTTTCTTGTATAGATAATGTTCACCATCGGTCCCTTCTTACTTCTGTAAGTCCAATACATGAACATTGCAGTAATTTGTTGATTGTTTTGATTTTCTTATTGGCGAGTGGTCTTCAGATATTTGCAATGAGCTTGTGGAACTATGGGCCTGATGTGATGGATTCAATAGTTGAACTAGTAATAGCCTTGGTATGTGGGTGAAATTGATTATCTGAGAAGTTGTTTTTAAGTAGTTTAGTTGTTCATCCAATATATATTATATTTATTATTTTTTGCACTCCTAACAGACGGATATTTCACTCTCTTATAATGTTGTAGGCTGCCTCAAGTGGAAATTATGTTGATTCATGCTTGAATATGTTTGTAAACAATTTCATTCCACCTGGCCCACCTTATTCCTTCTTGAAGCAGCCATGCGGTGTTGCAAGAAAGGACCAAGTTCTTTATCGCGTGCATTCAGCGCTGAAAGACATTGCTGATTTAGTGCCTCTCGCCCCTTTGAAACTACAGGACTTAATAACCGAAAGAATGCCGAATATATATGCTGAAGAATCTGTAAGTTCAAATTATATTTGAGCAATAAAATTGGTAGTGTTGTCTCATGCCTCTATGCATATTTCTGTAAGGCCATGCAAGTGAGGTTTACTTCAAGGTTTGTAGTACTGTCATTTTGAAGATTTTGTACCCTCCCTGGTTGTCGAAGGTTCTGCTTAATTAAGTAATGTCATCCAAATAAAGAATTAGATGTCTTTTGCGTTCAATTGAATTCCCTGCCAACTAACTTGCACATAATTTGGCTTCTTACTTGTGCCATAGCATCCTTGGGGTGCATTTGTGCAAGTCCACGTTGATGCAATGATTGGGATTTATAAAAAAAAAAAAAAATTGGGGGGGGGGGGGGGGGGGGGTTGGTTGGTTCAAATGGGCACTCCAACCAATCCAACTGGTGGTGATGGTGTTTTGTAAGGTACCATACAAGACTCAGGCTCTTGAGGGTGGGCCTTGGCACAATGTTAATGTTGCTCCATTGTGAGCTGGAGGTCGTGGGTTCGAAACTGGAAACGGCCTCTCTATACGGAGATAAGGCTGTGTAGATCTGATGACCCCCTTGTGCACTGGGCTAGCCCTTTTACCATATGAGACACTTGTTCAGATAAGAGGCCTTACTTTTCTGTTGTGTTACCTATATGCTCTTATGTTACCTTGCTTGATGCCAATATTGTCTATGCATGCCGATTTTGAGTGACATTGGTGGTTATTTATGCCAGCATCTCAGATTAAGGTAGTCATGCAAGCAGGCATGATGAAGAATTTGCTATGGTAATTGGGACATTTGCCCTAAAACTGTTTGTCTCAATTAATGTCATGCATGAATCAAGTACTTCTAGACATCACTCCATATTTTATCGCCATACAATGTCTTCATTATGAATTAAAATTTGTTGCAGCACATCATTTGATCTGAAGTAATACCCATTTGTTGTTGTAGTTGATTGTGATATATATAGAGAACATGCTGAGATTGGAGAGTGGTGCAATGGGAGAAATTATTGGAAGCATGATGCTTATTGGAGTGGTGGATAGGCTGATAGACTTGGATGTGAGTTATTTCAAGTTATCTTGTAAATTTGTGAATGAAAAGGGAGTTAAAGTCAGCTATTTCAAAAATCTTTTAATTGATCTTCATACAGGTGCAGATAGATTGGAATGATATTTTACAGGATGATTCTAGTAAAGGCATCTTTGAGATGGAGCTTGGAGAGATGGAAGGAACTGCATATGATGCCGAGAAAGACTGTGATGAGGTGTGTTTTATATTCTTGTTAATTTGTTTTATTTGATTGCCACTGCATTCTCTTTAGTTGAAGGTTGATACTGTTCTGTTGTGATGTTTTACCCATGAAATTGTTGACAAGTATGATGAATTGTTAATCATACAGTCGTCATGTCTTGCTGAGGTACAGTTTACACAATTATATTTCCTTAGTAATCTGTATGGTGTTAAGAGTCCAACAATCTGGCTTTTATAGCCAAGCCAAGTTGAATCAAGTGGTAGGCTGCTTAAGCCAGCTTGAAATGTGAACTAAATTGGGACTTGAATGGAACTTGGCTGGTTTATATGGCAAATAAATATTGAATGAGCTTCTGTTACTTGATCTTGATACAAACTCAAGTAGTGCGGTTCAGTTGTAGTCTAGAACTGACAAATACTTCTCCAAGGTTGCTGTGGCAATATCTGACGCATGTCTGACATGGATACACGTCGGATACATGTCTGATATGGCTGCAAAGTATCCCAAACAATAAAAATATTCTTTTTTCCGAAATTGGATATGGCTGGGATAAGACAGGATACTTTGCAATTCAGCTGAGCAAATCTTTAAATATTTTTTTGTAGGGAAAAAAAAGGATTTAGAAGCCCAAATTGATACTGGTTGATACTCATCAATGCACAGAGGCTGGAAATTAATGCTTTTAAATATATGTGTGTGTATATATATATATATATGATATGTAACATTGTACTGATTTTAACCTGAATTTATATCTGTAAATCTTCGTGGTAGTAGCTAAACTGATCAGATTCAAGATCATATACTGATGCATTAAAAGGCAATACAGTCTCTCTTGGTACTGGCTAAATCACAGTGTGTGTGAAAAGATTTTGCTTAAAACTTGCAAAAATTAGCAAAGGAATTGGAAGAAGGAAAATTATTTTACAATTAAATTCTATATATAGCCCTTTTTTTTTGGCTTTCTACGTGTAGTTTATGTAAGTGGGACCTCAATATTTTTGTTGGTCCATCAATATTTTTTTTGTAGTTTCTAATATTTTGTCGATTAGGTGGAGGTTGACCAAAATGTTCGACCTTTGCCACCATAAAAGGTCTGTAGAATTTTTTTGTGAAGTTCTTGGATTTTAGTTGTGAATAAATGTTTAAGCCTCTTATTAGCTTGTTGTCTTGGATGAGGGAAGAAAATACTGATTTCTGAGTCCCAAGAATAACTCCGTTGCAAAAGGAGGATGAAGAATTGGAAAAAGAACAAGAAAAAGAAGCTTATGATGGTAAAGTAGTGGCGGCAATATCATCAACAGATTACTTCCAGATGCTGAATGACGATGGCTGGAACATTTTGCAGTGGGCAGTTGATGTCAAAAGTTAAAAACACGTCAATATTCAAATTGAGAGGAAAACTATTACGTATAAGAAGATGCACTAGGTTAAGTGCCAAAAGTTAAAAAAAAAAAAAAAAAAATAGGTTTTAAATTTCCCTTGGAGATTGTGATACTTAAAGTGCATTTGATTGTTGTTTCTACCTTCCTTATATGCTAATGCTATTTTTTGCCCAGCTTTTAATAGAATCTTTGGGTCGGAAGAGTTATGTGGAACTTGTGGTTGCTGAAAAGTTGGATAGCTTGATGGTCCTAACCTTTGAGCATCTCAAGTCCTGTAATGAAGCTGGCCGTTTGATTGAGGTTATCTTTGTCACTATCATTTTTCAAAACGTTATTTTGCTATCCATCCAAAAAAAAAAAAAAAACTGTCATGCTGCTGTCCCAGGTCCCCTAATCTATATTTCTTCACCTATCCATTGGTTAGGTATTCGGAACTCTACTCCAGTCATTCCAGAAAACTGTTTTGACTGTGTACAAGTCAAAATTTGCTCAGGTGAGTAGATCTCACAAAAGTATTATGAACAAACAAAAATTGCTCTTATTGATTTGTTTTTGTTTTTCTTTGTTCATTTATATTCATTGGATATACTTATCTTGGATTTAGGAATGGATTTTGTTAAATCGTGCTTTAAATTACACACATTGTCTTTAACTTTTTTGCTTTACATTTTGCAGTTTGTGATGTTCTATGCATGTTCATTGGATCCTGATAACTGTGGTGTGAGATTTGCCAATATGCTTGCAGATATTTTTATGGGTGGTCAATCCCCACTTGATAGGTAACTAATGAGGTCATGGGGGGATTAGTTTTCTGATGCTTATTTCATTTTTTAGACTACACGATCTTTTTATTTACGCAACCTTTTACTTGTTATCTTTGAACCGTTTTAGATGGACACAAGCTCGTTATTTTTCATTCTTACAATTAAGGATACTTCTGCTAAAACATGAAACTGCAAGGAGTTTCAATTACAGCAGATATGGGGGGCTGGGGGAGGGTGAAAGAGAAAAATTTCTGAACTTGTTAGTTGTTACACGATGGTAGTTTACAGCAAGGTTTGTTGCTGCTTTTATATAATTATCCTATGAATTATGTTGTGTATGCATGAGCAAAGGCTCGATGAGCTTAGTATTTCTTTTTTTCTTTACATACATCTTATTTAATGAGCTTCACATTTCATGCACTGTAATGGATTTTTTATTAAAAAAAATTTGTGCGCGCGCGCGCGCGTGTTTTGTATGAAGAAATTTTAAGGAGTATTTGTCAGATTTACTCGAGTATTTCTGTGCAACATACGTCTTATACATATTCAACAGGAGTTTGAAATAAGCTGTGCACTTTTTCTTTTGTAAGTTTTGTCTTATTAATACTTCCCCCTCCCTGCCTCTCTCTATATTTCTTGCATTCTCTTTTTGTTCTCTACCATAGGCCTACTACATAAATGGTGTCAATGATGGATGAAAATGTGTTTGATTTCTAGTTTATTGAAAACCAGACAACTGCAGTCATTAGGCCATTTTGATTTGACTAGCTAAATTTTTTTATTTTTATTTTTTAATAATGATGCAGTTCAGTTCCAACATTTAGTATTCTTGATTTACTCTGTTACAATGTTGACAAAATAGAACCAGAAATGTAAATGCTATGAAACTTCTATTTATCTAGTTTGTCATGCACAAATTTTCAAAGGTCTATATAGTGCTAATTTCTTTATTGGTTCTATGCAGGATGAGTGCTATTGCTTTTCTTGCTAGCTATTTGTCTCGTGCAAAGTTTGTGTCAGCCTCTATTGTTGCTATCATGTTGAAGAGGTTGCTGAGCAGTTTTATATTCACTCATAAAACTTGCTTCTTTATTTCTATTCTATTCAATGTGTCTAAAATAAGAACAGGAAGTATAGTTTCTTATGCAGTCTCTCCCTATATTTATGATATTTCAGGCTGGTAGATTGGTGTTTCGAATATTGTCAAATCCGGGATGGTGAAATCAATCCAGAAGCTCATAGAGTTTTTTATTCTGGATGCCAGGTATAATGATGCTTTGACATTCAGTTATGTTCGGCATGAGTTAAATAGTTACAGTTGATAAATATGAAGTCATGTGAAGAGGTAGTAACATTCTTTTTATTGATTAAAAGTTTCAAAAAGTTCCTTGCTTTTTAGCGTTTCCTAATGGGTAAAGGTTTGGTCTCTTAAAGTGAATAAATTATATTCATATTGGCGGTAGATAAAATTTTAACATAGAGAAAGAAAGGGAACTATTTCTTTCCCTTTTTCTTTTTTTGGGTTTGTTATATACGAGGAACTTTTTAATTTCTTGAATAGTGATTTTTGCCCAGGAAATTGCAAATCCTATTAGTGGTTCTTTTCTGTCTCCTAGTCACTTTTATATAAATCTTGACGGTTATACGGTTATTCATGAAGCAGTATAGTTTGGGAACTTTATTTGATACCCACTATTTAATTGTGCAGGCTGAAAGCAAAGAAGAGAGCCTTTATGTGCTATTTGCAATTTTAATTTTGAATAGAATTTTATTTTGAAAAAAAAAATGTAGTTGTAGATGTGGATTTCTGATGTCAATTTTCTGTTGTGCAGGCCATTATGTATGTGCTTTGCTTTCGTATGAGATCAATAATGGTTGACCCCCATCTCAAATCACTACTTCACCTTTTGCCTATTGAGGCAATCTTGAAGCATCCATTGGACCCACTGAAGGTGAACATGGCACAATGTTTAAGTTTGTAAAATGAATTTTCCTTTATTTTGGTCACAAGTTCATACCTTTGACATCCTTTTTTTCTCTTAACCATATGATTTAGTCTGTGTCTTCTAGTCCAGTCCTTTTTTATGGTACATTCATGTCACGTGAACTTGCAGAATCCATTTGTAAATTTAACATAAATGGGGCCTAATCTTCCTTAATGTCTTCCCCGACAGGTGTGCTTGCCATCCATAGTAGAAGAATTTCTTCGGCAGGCCAAGGCAGCTCATCTATTTACCATATCTGAGAACTTTGTCTTTGATGATCTACTGGAATCAGAATTTTCCAGGGCTTTTGGTGGGATGGAAAGGCTTGACATGTTCTTTCCATTTGACCCGTATTTACTGAAAAAATCTGACAGGTTCGTATTCTGATCTTTTGGTCTAGCCTTTTACCCAGGGAAATAGTCAAAAATTGCACGTGACATAGTAGGCTCTCTTTTGGATAAATACAGAAAATGGCCGTTCTTTATGCCTGTCTTTTTGACTGCTGCTTTAGATCCCAAAATTCTGGAACAAGGGTTTTTTAGCATGGCATTTTCAGTTGCTTGTAATTTCAGCTTGTCCCTAGAAAATTTAGAACAAGTTTGTTTGGAAGGATGGGCTTTATGTCCTCAAGTTTGCATTTGGATTGATGGGTTTGAAATGGACAGACTTTGACTTAAGCATCTTAGGACTATCACTGAGATTTAAATTTCATGTTCCATGAAAGCCTTTCATTTTCTCATGCATTTGAAATTTATTGCTTGAAGGGTTCTGTTTCACAGGGATGCTTGTTAGATATATGTCTCTACCTGTGTCATATAATCTCTTATTTGTCAGTCCAACTACAATAGGCGATTCTGTTATATATTTATGTAAACTTGAACACTAAATCAACTTTTCTTTTGAATACATCAAACCAAATGCAAGCTAATAGCTCGTAAAGTAGTAGAAGATGATATCGTGAATGATCCTCTTTAAGTCCATTTCTTTCTAGATCAAAGTGTAGCAGAGACACAACTTTTCCAAGCCTGTAATTAACAAAGATGTCCTGCAATATAGTTGAGACCTCTTGTGGTGCTTTTGCCTGATTTTTCTGACTTTATCATGTTCCTTTTTGGATTTTTTTAATCTGAAGATTCATCCAGCCAAATTTCATTTACTGGTCGATGGTTAGAACCACTTATGATGACGACGACGACGACGAAGAAGATAGCTGCGATGAGGATGTTGATGAGATCTGTCTCAGGGGGAATGGATTAGACATTGAGGATGGTGGTGCCTCCAGCAGTTGTGAGGAGCTTGAATTCGATATTGATGAATTTGACTATGCATTGAACAAAATGTCCATCACACCCAAGAATTCTTTGAACTACAGATTTGGAGGTGAATTGCAGCGACCCATGCAAATGCCCTCCAGAATCAGACCATCCACTAGTCCCGAGTCCTTGTGATCCAGGTTTTTTTCTCCTTAATTGTGGAATATACTTAATACTTTTTGTGACCCGGAAAATGTATTTGTCGACTTCATCCACCAGTTTTGCCGTATGATTGCTCATCGCCACTTCAAAGGCATGAGTCAGGGGCCAAGACGCGAAAGATTGAAGAAGGATGCTGAGTCTCCAGTGAGATGTGAAAGATGTCTGGCTAGAGTGAGTTCAGCAGTAATGTTGGTACTGCAGTTTTGTGATTTCTTATTTCCTCAACTTCACTCACGCAAATTTTTGTAATATTTGTCCACTCAATCTAAATATAGTTAATATTTATCGCATGATTGGTAGTTCAGAGCCAATATAATTTTTGAATTGGTACAATCTTCTTTTGTGCTAGTTTCGCTGAAACATGTATCATTTTACGGAGTTATATGAATATTCATTTAGTGCCTGTTTGGATTGGCTTTTCATAAGCTGTTTTTGACCTTTTGGGCTTGGAAGCTGTTTTGAATGGTATTATGGTTTTCTGTGTTGTCATTGTTTATACAGAGAGTTTGTTCTAGAGAAGGTAATTTGTTAGTACACCAGGTCCTCAATTTGGATGTTGTATTGCTCAAGCACCAAGCTTTGACAAGGCAATTGTTAATTAAAATTAATTTTAATTATCAAAATGCGGATGAACTATTTTTTTTTCCAATTTTAATTTTATTAAGCTACTCTAATTAGCTCATGCCTGCATTTATAGCTTTTTGCCCTCATTTCTGATTTAAGCAAAATAATTTCATGGGACAGATAAGAGAAAAAAATTCAACAAAATCTAGTTATTTTTTAAATAGAGGAAATGAGAATAGATATGTTATGCTCTCTATGGAGGGAAAAAAAAAAAAAAAATCCCCTGCTATTTAACTAAATACGCAAATACCTTTAATTAACCCACATTATATCAATTTAGCTATTGAAATGTCTAAAATGTCCATATAACAAAATAAAAGAAATAAAAAAATAATGAAGCAAAATTGGCTTATTATCAGAATTCCAAGAAACCATTAGATAAAATAGGATATATTAGGAACTAAAACCGGTGTTTCATGACATGAATCAACCTCAAAATATTATCAAAATGGTATTATTTAATTATGTTATACAATTTTGCAGTAGACCAGTTCTACAATTTAACATTTTAATCACCTCACTGGCAGAATGAATTTGTTTAGACTAGTACGTATTTGTTAAAACATTCACAATATCAGACCATTCTGATGGAACACAGATTTTCCAGAACACCTGACCGACTGACATGCGGTTTTATATATATATATATATATATATATATATAAATAATAATAATAATAAAAAACACTAATTGTAACAGTAACCACCATGATCTCCCCGGATAGGTCTGCGTGAATATGAATGAGAGGCTGGTTCCGGAATCGAGCATTGTTGAGAGAAACCCTTTCAGAAAATGCACCCAACAAAAATCTTGTTCAGAGTCTCTATTATTGATTGATTTGGTCCAGACTGAGACACCATCGAAACAAGATGCAATGATCATCATCAGATGGTGTCTGCATAGCACCTCGTTTATGCGCACAATTTCTCATCAGGAAACGAATTTACTCAATCGCTACAGCGTCTGGCCTAGCCTCCACATCAGCTGTCATAAAACGAGGCTTGGTGGGGAAGATGAAAACTGTAGCTGCAGCTATTGATGGTTGAAATCCAGCTGAATATCTCACTGAGGTCACAGAGACTTTGGGTAGCTGTTGGTAACCTGAGGCCAGTGGTACAAGCTTGTAACTGAGTATATGCTCGGATTTTGGTAGAACAAATATCGTGTCATTATGGTACCCAGACAACACAAAACTTTGTGAATCCGCCAATGAGAACTTAATCTCTTGCAGCAACTTTGTTTGATTCTGAATTTTGATGAAGTACGTAAAGGGGTTCCCGAGGATGGCATGAGAGGGACACTCCAAACTCACAACTAATGGAGACAACTCAACATTTACATCAGGAAGTCTGTGTTGTGTCAAAACCTCCGATATATCTGTTGTATCAGAATGAGATAACTCTTCAGGTCCATAATCTCTCCTCCATCTTAGACACACTGTCCCTACATTAAGCTTTGGCAAATTTACTTCAGGAATGACAGAAAAAACCTTCTTAAACTCTTCGCCAGGCACGAGGAGAGCAGGGTCTACGATGTCCTCACCCCCATGTTGCACAATGCATGACCGTCCACTGCCATCATCCTCCACTTCAATAGACATTGATAATAATCGCAATGGCACCTCCGTGCAGTTTTTAGTACTAACAATGAGTACGCTTTTTTCATTTAGAGGCAATGATGGCATCTGATCAGGATCACGAACTGGCTTGATCTTTGAGATCAACAGAGGGTCACGTCGGAATGGTAACATGAACTGATGGCTAATTAACACAGCAGTCTTGCCTTCAATCTGCAAGCTTTTGTGGACATGAACTTTCTGCACACTAGGCTCGCTGCTATGTGTTGAATAGCCCAATGACACATAAAGCATAATCGGCTTGGGGCGGTGCCATTTTATTTCCAGTTTGCACAACCACGAGTCTCCCACATTTACAAATGGAACAGGAATCAATCCAAAGGAGTGCTGAATTTTCCTGATATTATCAGTAGAACTTTGAGACTCATCTTCACATTCTCGTCCAGATACTCCGAGAAGCTCAACATGAAGATTGTCTGCAGAAAAAGGTTCTTCTTCCCGTGGACTAAGCAACCCCCCACCTCTTGTATCCACCAGGTTAATCTTCAATTCCCCAGAATGGATGGCATGGCCTTTTGAGGCGACTCTAACAGGTACAATAAAATTCTCTCCAACCAATGCAGGGCCAGAAGCACCTAATTGAACGTCCACTTGTGGATCTGGTTCTTCCACCTCGGTTGCCTTCTGACCAGAGAATGCAAGAGCAGGATCCTTGGTTGGAAAAGTTTCTACACGGTCTTCAAATTTCCAAAGTGGTAAATCGTTCATCGAGGCAGGACTTTCAGCTCTGCAACAGATTGTGAAGTGGGGTCCCATTCTTGCAATTACAGATACACATTCAAGCTTTCCACTTTGTTCTGCATCAGTCATAATGTTGTCTTACATTTACAATACAATGAAAGATGGGACACAGTGGAAAACTATGCTACAATGATATTGAGAGGATTTTTTAGCATGACGGGAATGCATGCAGCAAAGAACATTTAACCATTAAGCAATGCTCTAAAAGCCAAACTGTAGACCAACTTGGCAAAGGCCCAGGGAAAATAACCAAATGACTCGAAACAACCAAGGTGGAATTGCACATTTCATGGAAATTAACATGTATTCTGCAACTTAAAGACAGTGTCTACTCTCCTACTAAGGTAGTGCACCACTTGTATGCCCGTAATACTTTGACATAATGAATGCGATCCAGCCTTTACTTTTCAAAAAAGGTAATGCTAATCTACAGAGATGGGATATCAATTATATTTTTATGTCGCAACCAAGCTTGAATAAATCAATACACAGCCACAACCTATGGGTCAATTGCAAACCAAGGAAAAAAATCTGGCTCACTAATTTCTTCCATACCTTGTAAAAGTTTAAGCTGGTGGAGCAAAGGCCAAAATATCAAGAGAATTATTATTGCATTGGATGCGCCGACAATCCATTGTTCTGGCAAAATATAAAATGACAAACCCACAAAATTTTGACAGATGAAATGATGTTCTGTAGGATGGATTGTGCCAACACTATAAGCTGGATCAAGCTTCAGATACCTCCCACGTGAAGCCATTTAGTGACATAATGCTATATATGTGCACTATGTGCGTCCAACAATCGTACAGAAACTTAAATACTATATAAAGAGTAAAAAAGAATAACTAGCTTACCAGATTTGATGTCATATGTCAACCGTAGCCATTTGTTTGTAACAAGTGCCAGAACAGGAGCAGTCTCCACTCGGCAATCCGATTGATCACTAGAAATTGCAGATACCTGAGGTCTCTGACCATTGATGATGGTAAAATTACAATCAGATTGATTGAACTGAATTTCCAAGTAATCTATCTCAACAGGATGGGGCAATTGAGATAGTAGGCTTATCGTAATCAAGGTAGGTACACCAGGCTTAACTATCTGTTCATGAAAAGCAACTGACGCAAGAAGTACCACTCGGAGGGGACTGACAAGATCAATCTCAAGATGAAGGGGATGATCACCAGTCACTTTTAGGTTATTATTATCTTCATCGGATGACAGCCCAGGTTCTTCTTTGACAATACCAAATACTTCCTTGTGTATGATTTCTCTCTGTGCAAGACTTGCAGGCCCAGCCAGGCCACTATCCTTAAAACTAAATGATTGGACACCAGACATAGATGATACTGGCAGAGCAGCCATTTCAAGGGAATACTCAACAAAATCTTTTACAGAACCAAGCCTCCTTGTGCACTCTCGCAGGTAACCCAGAACTTCCCATAACAAAGTCACCCAACCATCTTGTCTGTAAAGACTTGCAACACTATCAAAAAACTGTTTAGCATTACTGAAATCACTCAAAGCAAAATATTCTCTGGCCATTTGGAACCCACAATTAGAAGCCATCCTCTGGGCTTTGGAGTTGCTATATGTTTCAAAAGATTTTTTGAGCAGAGCAATAATTTCAAAGGAATCCTGGAATCTCTTCCCTTCAGCTAGAGCGTAACGGATATACTCTTCATCAGTAAGACTGCAAAGTCAAATGAAAATATCAGCATGTTCAAAAAAGTAATGCATACTGCAGGAAGCATCCTAAAATGTAATTTGTTAAAGGGCTTACGATTGCATTAAAAATTGATCCCCTTGCTCAAGTAATCGAGCAAATTGACCCACATAAACAGAAGGTACCACAGATTCAGCCATGCTATCAATCTCATTAGTAGAGTCTGACATAGAAAGCGCAAGTTCCAAACAAGACCTTTTCTCCTTCAAGTAGTGAGCAGCTAACTGTTACAAGATGAAATGTTGAAATATGATCCAGAATTAGTATAAATAAATGAAATTCAAAATATGGAAGACACGGAAGATTCTAACCAACATAACATCTTGACCAGATCATCAACTATCCAAAAAAAAAAAAAGGGCTAGCCCAGTGCATAAAGCTCTCGCCATTGTGGGGTCTAGGGAGGATGAGATGTACATAGCCTTACATCTGCATGTGAAGGGGCTGTTTCCCGTTTCAGACCTGTGACCACCAGATCACAACGGAGCAACTTTATCATTGCGCCAAGGCCAACCCTCGATCAACTATCCAAATATTGCTATTATTACCCAAATCAACTTCTTGAAACCCCTTTTGGGAATTTTTTTTTCTTTCTTGGAACACAAAATTAATGCATCGATGAAAATCTAAGCAACAGTTGCAGTAAGTGAAAAAAGAAGAAGAAAAAGATAAGTCGAGAAGGTTCACCAATGTGCAATGGCGTTCAGTTGAGAAAACAGAATTACAAGCAAATGAAACCAAAGACAACAAAAAAGACTACGGGGTTAAAAATTAAAAAAAAAGCAGAGGAGTTTGACCAAAAGACTGTAAAGCAAGCGCAGGGTCATCAGCCCAAAAAAGGCCATAAAAGGAATTAGCAAGAATAAAAGAAATTTCAAATCTTATGCTTTATAAAGCTAAATAATCAAAATTCCTTCATTTTTTTCTTTTATTTCCTTGGACAACAAGCTGCGCTTATGGAACTTAAGGAGTATTAAGCATAGGCACTTGACTGAAGTAACCATGTATTAAAGGTACATAACAAGGAAGTTTTATGTATATTAACACACTAAATGGATGCAAGTCCATATCTCATACAAATACCCGTACAAATTCATTGACATGTCTCCTACAGATATCTCAAACACTTGAAGAGTCCGGCATAGAAGGAAGTGTCCTATCATCCTTAACATAATATAAACCGTAAATAACTAAATATGGTAGGAGCTAGGAAGTATAGGCCACCTGCCTGATAATAATAAGCTGAGCTAAATTCCCACTCAGTCAATTTATCTGAACCGCCTGTAACTGGAGATGGATTGCTTTGAGTAATAGCAGAGCTCGTCTCTAGTAATTCAGCAAAAACCAAAAATTGTCTGCTCAGCCATTCCCAGTGAAGAAAAATAGCTTGTGGTATACCCACGAGCCTCCTGTAAGAAGCATTGTGCTGGCGGAACCGTGTGATTGCTTCTGAAAGTTTTCCACCATGCAGCAAGAGTGTTGATATCTTGAAGTGCAATTGCTCAGCAACTGTTTTTATCTCAACTAAGCGTTGAGCTGCAGGCAATCTTGTTGATGTCCCAATCATCTGTGTGTATGTACATATACAAGAAGTGGGAATACAATATGAAAGGATAATAAAAACAAGAAGCTGCACTAATATAGGCAAGTGAAAGCAGTAAAAAAAAAAAACAGACAACCAGCGAAATGGGCACCATAGAACCACATTATGACAACAGATTTCCTGCTGCATATTGAAGCAATCTTGCTTTACTTTCGGGATATCTAATTTATAAATTACAAACCATGTCTACCATTTAATGGGCTACATGAAAAGTACAGACAGTGTATCAGTTCACTCCTCAGGTTCATGCCTTACATATTCCAAAGCTCCAGAAAACAGAAATACGAATAATGCTTCCAGTATAATTCTGAAGCTTCTGAGGATAGATATAATGATCCCCTCTTCTTTTTTTCCTAGTTGATGATGCATGAGGCACCAGAGCCAAGTGACTTACTGTAACGGGTGAGCGCTTGTACATTTACCCAAAAGCTCAAGCTGTTGGGTAGTGCTGAATACTGAATACCCACCCATTTGTACCCAATCATTCTCTCATCCGGATCCGATGTAGGACAAATATCCCCTTGTAACATTCTCCCCTACCCGAACTCGCAACGCCCGCAACGAGAACTCACAATGCCCTCGTTGCGGTCAGGCCACCCTACCTACCCAGGGTGGCTCACCCGGACGCTTGGTGTGACACCGGATCAAGGATTAGGTTTGGGTCTAATACCAACTATAACGGGTAGGCGCTTACCCATTTACCCAAAAGCTCCAATTGTTGGGTAGTGTTGCATATCCACCCATTTATACCCAATCACTCTCCCATCCGGATCCGATGTGGGACAAATATCCTCTTGTAACACTTACCCACTTGAGCCAACCCCTTGGGGTTCTTTTTTTCCCTGACAAATAGAAGAAATAATACACTATAAAATACTAATCTCCATTATTTTGTCCCGTGGATGTGGTTCACATGCTAAGTGGGCTCATTAGCATTGTCTAGACAATTCAAATGGCCTGATTTTTCCAAGTATTCTTTCAACTTTATTCCAATTTTCACAATTAATTTATTAAATAAAATAATGGCCAAAAGAGCAAGTGATATTTACATGCATATTCCTTTCTCTTTAATTTAATGATATATGGAATCTAAATTGGCATTTTCATCCAAGTTTGACAAAATGTGGATTCTAGTGCTGCATACCCACCCATTTATACCCAATCACTCTCCCATCTGGATCCGATGTGGGACAAATATCTCCTTGTAACACTTGCCCACTTGAGCCAACCCCTTGGGGTTCTTTTTTTCCCCTAACAAATAGAAATAATAATACACTATAATATACTAATCTCCATTATTTTGTCCCGTGGATGTGGTTCACATGCTAAGTGGGCTCACTAGCATTGTCTAGACAATTCACATGGTCTGATTTTTCCAAGTATTCTTTCAACTTTATTCTATTTTTCACAATTAATTGATTAAATAAAATAATGGCCAAAAGAGCAAGTGATATTTACATGCATATTCCTTTCTCTTTAATTTAATGACATATGGAATCTAAATTGGCATTTTCATCCAAGTTTGACAAAATGTGGATTCTATGTGATATTTGTGGTTACATAAACAAACTTTGTAGTGGCTACCCGATTAAATATTTTAAGTTAGAGAGGGCAGTATAAAATTAAATTAGGCTGGCCACCATAAGGACAGTACTAATTTTCAGGAGTCGCAAGACCTGGGAGCCGATATGTGAATTACCAAGGGACGCAAAGCTTGTAGCAATTGACTTCAATTATTTCAAATTATATAGTGAATAAAAAATTAAGAAAAGATAATACTTCAATGCAGATTCTTTATTAATTTGGCAAAGGTCAAAAACTTGTGTTGTTCTCTTTTATCATAGTCCATGACTCGGTGTGTATTACAGTCTATATCTTTTTACCTTTGGTGTTACATTATTTCATTATTTATTGAAGGAAAATAGACAGCCACGTTACCATCTCTGTTAAAATCCTCACGATGAACTTGTTTGGAATAAAGTTACATCTACAACAAAAGGCCCCACCAGAACCCAGTCAAAAGTGCCACATGGACCATCAGTGATTAGATTAACAACATTAGTTCAAAATATGAGTTTTAAGTATCAAAAAACAAATAGATTACCTCCCGTAGGATATGATAGGCATCCTCATATGACCTCAAAGCTTCAACCCAGTCTCTCCGGAATTCTGCATATACAGCAACCTAGCAACCACAAGGTTTAGATAAATAACAAGCAATATAAACAAAGACACAAAATCGACAGATCTCTAGATGCTCTACATCATTGAGCTATTAGCATCAGTTTTTTTTTTTTGATTCTGTGAGCAGGGAAAAAGTTATAAGTGCTTTTTAAGGTTTTGATGGATACAGAACATTATTTATTAATTCAAACCATCAATAATTTAAAAACAAAAGCTATGTGCCCCATCGTAAATTAATAAGGGTGTGTTTAGGTCAAGGTTTTGGGGTGAACTAAGGAGGCAAAATTTGGATTGGGCTCTTTTAATCCAAAATTTGTTTTTGGGACGCAAACCTCAAATAAGATTTAGAATTCTACCGCAATTTAAGAATTTTGTTTTAGTTATAAAAAGGAGGCTTATGTACTCTAGGGGCAAGTTGTAATTGCAAATCCCACTAATTGAAAGAAACCTGGGGGGGGGGGGGGGGGAATGACGGGGAGGGGGGGAGAGACTTAGAACATCATTGACATTGTGACTGCAGCCAATAACACTTGAGCAACCCCAATAGTCATGGGCTCATGGACTCTTGCATCAGCAGAATCACCATAGACATCAATGCAAACCAATGCTACCGCGCTGCCCAGTCATCACAATTGCCACTACTTCCATGATATATATCACCAGTCACCACCTATAACATTGCCAGATTTTCTGCCATCATCACCATCTCCACATCCATAATCACACCACCATCTACACCAACGCACAATGGATGCTGCTACTACTACCACCTTTATCATTAGACATCAAATAGTTATTATAAACTTTACTCCCCTATTCCACCATAATTACCATCACAATCACAAAATCCAATGATGCAGTAGCACCACTGTTGTACGTTGCCCGTAGGCTGTAAATGAGCCGAACCGTGCCAAGTAGTGGTCTGTTCCACTCGAAAATGTAAAAAGGGTGTTTGAACTTGGCTTGAGCTCCCACAATGGCATTCGGACTTGGCTAGCCTATGGTTGAGAAAGTTCAAGCTTGGCCCCATAGCTTGTATAATAAAACACGCCTAACTCAAGAGAAGATGCCATTGAGAAAGGGGCTGTCGGTGGATGATGCCGTTGAGAGAGGGATCATCGCTGGAAGGTGCCATTGTAGTTGAGAGATGAAAGAGGCAGAGAGTTGGGTACCGAAATGGTTTATAGCCCTATTTAACATATGAGAGAGAGAGAGAGAGAGAGAGAGTCAATAAAAGCACGGAAGATGAGAGACGGTTCATCACCAATGAGTGTAATGTGCTGGTGTGGCTGCTAGGGTTCCCGCCATTTTGTTGGTAAAGGAAATTGGAGAAAGAAGTGTGCGTGTGCGTGCATGTGTGGCTCGGAAGTAGTCACGGGCTTAAGCTAATTGGGTTTTTTCAAAAAAGGGATGAGATTATTTGGGTTGGGTTGGACTGGACAAGTGGAAGATAATCAAAAAGTTTTAAGAGACGTTTTTGTATGTGGACTAAACTTATCTCTCTTAAAAATGCCTGTATTTTGAGCTCAAAACAAGCCTATTAACAAACGTGTTCACGAAGAAATAAATCACAGAGAGATATATTTAAGCTTGACTCATTTAATAAACAAGCATAATTTTTTTGCTTGAGGTCAGCTCATTTACTAAACAAATGAACACAAACTGAGCCCATATTGAACCATAACCGAGCTGTTTACAAATAGTTCGGTTCATTTACAGCACTAGTTGCTCGCACATTCCATCACATTCAACATCACATCTGAACCACCAATAACTCCACCATAAATCTATCAATATTAGAATTAAGAAAAGTTGGATCTCAAAAGGCCAACCTGAAAGGTGAATTTTAAATTCTACATCTTTGTAAATTTGAGAACAGAAGGGCCAATTCCGAGTTTTTGAACCAAATACAGCCTGAGGATGAATTTCATATCATGTTCAGTAAATTTCATTGCTCATGCAAGTTCGGAATAGTGAAGTTAAGAGGATTACCCTAGTTCCTTGACAGTGTTGGTACTGATTTATTGACAATAAAACACTAAGAAGCCCTCTTTGGTAGGATTTCTTTAATATTGTCAACTGCTAAGTGATAAATACAGCAGAAGGATACACAATTTCAGAGAATAAGGCAGTATTTGGGTCATTATTCAATGCAAAATGAAACATAATTGTTTTTAATAATAACATGATACCAAGAAATTGCGTATACTGCAACAAATAAAGAAATGAATGTTTTGAGCATATATTGCAAAAAGATAATGCAACTGATAAAGAATGAATATTTTAAGAATATATTTATATATATTTCAATCATAAGGAATGAGATCCTCACTTTAAAGCAATAGCGGATATTCAACTCTACAGAACTGAAGCTTTTCTTTTCAAGACGCGTTTTAATCCTTCGTCCTTCTTCCCTGTAATATGTATTTGCTAATTCTGCAAATGTGTTCCCTAGCCTGCACAAGGGTTGCTATACAATGACAACAATGTGTAACAAACATCAAGGCAAAAAAGTCTAATCTGGATATTATTAGCACAATATCATACCTGTTAAGCGATTGTTCTAGTTCTGGACCATCGATAGGGACAAAGACAATAATGTACTTGGAATCTACTTCCGCACGCTTACGTAGAGCAATCATACGATCTTCACTTATATCATCTGCATCAAAATAACTTAACCATATTATCAAATGTTATTGATAACTATGTACGTGAAACTCAGATACTTGATACTCAGACAAGGGCATGAGATGTACCTAAAAACATATCCAATAATTCAATTATATATTTATTCCTTCAAAACAAGTTAGAGGTCTATTTTCATCCCTATGTTTCATAGAAATGTTATTTTACTCCAAAAATAAAAAGAATATTATTAAATAATATGACTACTTAGCAGTGTCCCTATATCCTTTTATTTGAGAATTTGATACATCCGACATTCATATACATATCCATACCAGACATTAGCACCCGAGTCCAGGTAACATAGCCTGATAATACTAATTATCTTCGAATGCTTGAAAAAGAAAACGATAAGGAAGCAAGTTTCCTTGAAACAAGCCCAAATAAAGACGTGTACACACATGTATATATGCATACATATGACTAGCTCACATGTATATACGTGCCTATAAACGTGTATATATATATAGAGAGATTAGATATGTGCATATATTACACTCCTAAACATAAGCACATAAAACTCGCTAGTCAATATAAATATATTATCTACTAAAGTTCGCCATTAAAATAGAGACTAAGGAATAACAGGACCCTTTGCCAGTTATACAAAAGAAACTGATTAGTTCACTCATGCAAGTATTCCCTAAGATAATTATCATTTTATATATATATATATATATTTTGATAAGTAATAATGAATTAAAAAAGGCGTTCAAAAGGGGAACGCGTCCCTTACATTAGAGGAACCAGGGTCTAACCAAAAAATCTAAAAAGAAATTAAATCATCAAAAGACGAACAAGAACTCCTCTTCACATAAATAAAGAGAGAACGAATAATAACAAGTTTCAATGTCGCCGTAGACGACTCCTTCCTTTCAAACATTCTACTATTTCTCTCCTTCCAGATGCACCACCATACGCAATATGGGACAGATCTCCAATAATCACGTACACCCCTACTCACATGACATCCTCTCCAGGCATGAATCAAATCCTTAGTAGAATGTGGCATTACCCAACACATTTTATATTTTACTGCACATGATATTAAAGATTCTAGGAATCTTATTTATCCGATCAAATTCCGTTCTCTTTCACTTTCTTACACATTTTTAACAATAATTAAATGAAATTAGTGCATGAATGCAGAAGACATAAAATAAAAGCAATCATATTTCATCTCCTGCTATAACTGATGTTTCTTGGCTTTCAAAAAAGTGCATATCATAAGCATACAATCAGATAAAAAACAGATTCATCATAAAGAAAATTATGCTGAAACAAGAAATAAGAAGGGCTGATGAGAATTATGAGATAGCAATAATGAATTGTAAATAGATTTCAAGTTCAAATTCCATCGATAATCTAAATGGTATTACCTATAATCATCGACAAATGGAAAACTTTATCAGGATTCTTATCCGCTCATTTGATATTTTGAAAATGGGTTAATTGAAATGGAAAATTCATTCATAGAATAGGTAAAAAAAAATATAATGAATTGGATCTGGTTGGAAGGTTCCAACAAAATCAAGTGTGTTTATTTGAAGGTACTCTAGTTAAAGATCCTACTTTTAAAGACAAATAAACCCAACAATAGCAGATGGAATATGAGTATCTTATTAGGTTTTTTTGGAGTTCTGATTGCTAGTTAATGGATTGCATATTCTGTCAAATTTATACAGTGAACTACGCATAAGGTATAAGCACGACAACTTACCCTTAGAAGTAGACTGCACAACAAGAAGAACCAATTTGATGCTCCTTCCTCGAATCACGGTTCTGTCCATTTTTACATAACCATATAAGCATATACGAATTGAGAAACAATTCATAACTGAATATGCATCAATCAAAAACCAAAAAAAAAAAAAGAGTAAATTTTTTGCAGTAAACATTCTGCTAATTTTGGGAAATGCCAGACAACAGCAATGGAAAGGAAATCGTACTTGAGGTTTTCTAGATCGGTGCAGACCTGTAGCCACTGAGCGGGATCGCCGGAGACGTGATCGGAGCTGAAGAGAGCAGCGACGACTGCCGGAACCCTAGTCCGGTGCTTCGGAAGCCAATCTCTCTTCAAAATTCCAGCAGTTTGACCAGAAGCTGAATTTTCCTTAGGAATTTTGGCCATTACAGAGATCTTGGAGAAATCGGGTAATGCTAGGGTATTGATTGGTGGTTGCTCCGAGTGGAGATGAGTCGAGATGAGTGTGTGAAGATCTGGACATCCGACCAGCGAAACCAGAGCCACCGGTGGAGTTCGCAGCTCTTCGGGATACTCTTCCATCTGTGTCTGTGTTGATATTTCTTTGATCTGTTGATTGAGATGGTTGTGTACTTGTGTTCGTGGTAGGTTTTTGTAAATTAGGGTTTGGAAATGGAATGTTATGAATATGTGAAGGAAGGAAGAGAATGGTTTTTAGCAGATGAATGAGATCGAATGCACTGCTAAAACACTAGTCAGTCCAGTCTCAGACGGACCGGCCGTATTGGTGCAATGACTCGGAACGAGTTAACTCTTTATGACTCGCCCCTGTATCTATTTGGTCTATCGTTTGAATTTTATTTTATTTTAGATGAAAATTAATAGTGAAAAATGACAAAAGAAAAAAAGAAAAAGAAAAAAAAGAAGAGGTGATTGAAAGAATAAAAAATATATTTTTTATGGTATAGTTTAAATTGAATTTTTTTTGAGGTGAATGAAAGAATAAAAAATATATTTTTTATGGTATAGTTTAAATTGAATTTTTTTAAAAAAAAAAAATTATGAAAAATGCACATTTTATCATTCGAATAACATGAAAGGCATTATCATTGTAAGTTTATAATTTTTTTTTTAAGAAATCAAAATTTCTTTATATTTTGTGTAGGAAAATTTTATGATTTTTTTTTTTTTCAATTAACTAAACTGAGCCTTTGGTTTTTTTATAGAAGGAAAAATTAATGAATGGGAAGGGAAGGAAAAAGAAAGAATATATTAAATAACTTACATTTGTTTTGAATAATTATTAGGAAAAGGAAAGAAGTCCTGAATTCAAGTAAAGAAGAAAAACATAATAATAATAATAAGAAAGGACTAGAATAACCCTAGAAAAACATATTAATAATAAGAAAATGGCCAGAATAACCCTTCATCGTGTTTGAATTATATAATGTAGAGAAAAAAATGATGATTATTTTATTTTGTAAGTCATGATGTAAAATGAGATGATTTTTTATTTTGTAAGAGATTAGGTAAAACATGAATTCTGTGTTTTCTTTTTCTTTTCCTCACACATGAATTTGTTACAATAGGGTTATATTAGTAATCAAATAAATAGTCAATTATTTGTTCTTTATTTTAATTATTATTATTATTATTTTCTGTAGAAGGAACAGAGAGATTTACATTTTCTTCCATCAGAATGCATATGGAAACAAAAATTAAAAAGAAAAATAAGGGAGAAATATTAATTAATTTGGGAGAGTGAAGTTGGAGAAAGAATATGCGTTGTATAAAAAATTGTTTTTACAAGAACTTTTCCAACCAAGAGAATTTACCAATCTTTGTCATTTTTTTTACTCTCAAATTATCTAGACAAGAAAAGAGTTCTCACTTCTCAGCCTCCATTTCTTTCTCCCAAAGTCCCAAGACCATGCACACAATATAATCGTTTTTTTATTATTATTTTTTTATCCCGACAAATTTAGAGGGAGGAGGCTTAAACACTAGCACATCCGATCGGATAACCAGATTATTGAAATAAGATTGAAATATGGTAAAATATACTCAACATGGAAAAAATCTTTTTCTTACATCCATGTTGGACCCAAATTCATGATGAATCTTTCAATGAAGATTGTGACACCTTTTCAAAATTCAGATCCAAAATTAATATCCAAGTTTTTAAAATGAACTTCAAATCGGATAAGTTTTGAAGTCAAACCCAATCTATTTCAAGCCATTGGAAGAATATTAGATATATATAGCTCATATAGCAGAGCATTCAAAGATTGGAGTTCACTCTTCCAAGTAAATGTTATTGGGCATAAAGAAAAATGTATACTGGACAACCACAACATATAAGCACACTTCTAATATAGTGGCTTCAGTGGTATGGTTTGAAGTTGGGACAATGTGGAAAAGATTCAAAATTGCCAAATGAACCAACTTTCTAATCAAATGAATAAAATTTCTTCCCAAAAAACTGCCCCAATTCAAAGTTAGACCTATGGTTCGCAATTGCGGTAACAATCGCGGTCGCAGTATAACAGAATCGGACGAATATCGGTGTAAATTAGCCGAACCGGCCAGTTTATGGAAGTCTGTAATGGTATCGGACCCTTGAAAAAGGGTTACGAACCGGGCGATAAATCGTGTGTCGGCCAATATACACCACTAATTTCCACAGCTCGGCGGCTGCAGGTATCCTTAAACCAGACTACTGATTTCATCCATTCCATGGATGTGAAAAGAACTGAATCAAAACCATCTAAAATGCATAAGAACAGGTTCAATATTTCAAATTCTCTTACCATATAATCTAGAAACAAACAGCAAATGAAGAAGATGAAAAGCGAGATCAACATCCAGAGAGCATGCAACAGTTGCATTCTAAATTTAACAGTACGGTAACCAATAACCGCTAGTGACCAATATAAACAAGACAAAGAATCAGGCACTTTGATTGGCCCTGAGGAAACTATTCTTCCAAATGTAAAGCTTACAAGTGGAGCACTTTATGTCTCTGGCACATCTTGGGCAATCAATCACTCTTGCCCTCTTGGGATCCAATTTCTTGCAAATAATGTTCTGCTTCCAAGGCTGCCATGCATCCTGCACCCAAATGAAACAATAATAAACCACTTTAGACCTCAACAAATATAAGCTCATGTAACAAGCTTGTTACTAAAATTTTTGATGCTACCAATCTAATATTACAACACTTAATCAGCAAGTTTCTAGAATTATAAATCCACTTTTGTTTGCTTGTCCTGCTTAGGCTGTTTATTGATCTTCCTTCAAATGAAGGTTGGCGACAATCTTCTTAAACCATAAGAATCTTCAAAAATGAAACAAGAACCGGGAAAAAAAAAATTTGTTTGACAAACAACAATCCTCTTTACTTATATAAGGGAGGTTGTGGTTGGTCCAGATGGTAAACTCAATTGATTAATGTGTTGGAATCGGTGGAGTATGTTTACATTAATGTTGTGTCTTATATCCATTCCAGTGAGCTATCTTGCGTATCTGCTTTACACAGAATAGAGGTCACTGAAGTAAATCAGAAATGAACTCTGCAGCAGATAGCAATTAGCAGATGACGACAAGTTCTAGAACAGTGTTAAATGCTTATAGATCAGAACATAATGATAGATGCTTCTGATAAAAGAGGAATTAACTTAATCATAGGACAAATGGAAAATGCAACCTGACATAGCATAGAACAAAAGGAATTTCTAGTAACATCTATTCTGTTATTTAACGAGTGAGTTAAATAGATTAGGTTCAAAGAATTTTAGTTCCTGACCGAATCTCAAAGGGTCAGCTCAAGACATTAGCATCACAGCGTTTGTCACAGTGAATGTCACCAACTTGAATCCAATTAGATTCACACATGTGACTCATTCCTGGTCAGCAATAAGCATAGCATACAGTTTGAAACAGAGGAGCAGAAAATGAGAAGAGATATTATTAATGTATCCCTCTCTCTATCAATTACAAAAGTGTAATCAATCATTAATCATTATTAACTATATCAACTGCATGGATGCTGAGAAAACTGAAGAAAAAAAAAAAAAAGAACATTTAATTTGTAATTCTGTATTGCTTGCTAACTTCTAAAAATGGCCTTCTATTGCTTGGTTAACTAACATTCTTGGATTAATCACATTCTAACGCATTGTTGTCTATGCTAATAATATGCACCTCATGGACCATCCCCTTCAAATCCATAAACCTTAACTATCATTCTGAAGGATGGAAACCAACTCATTTTAAAATGGATAAACTACCTCAACTGCAGCTAAAGGGATTAAATTTTGGTGGGCCTTATTAGGTAGAGACAGTTTGAAGAGAGGCATCCAGATCAGGGTTTGGAAAAAAAGTAGGTTTAATAGATCTCCCCTGATTATATAGATATTTTACTAATACATTCCTGCACCTTCAAAAGTCACCAATATTGCCCCAATATGTGTGTAAAATTAGAGCAAGGGTATCTCCATTATTGTTCTTACTTTCCTCCTCCATCATTTTAGAGCAAGCGTATCTCCATTGTTGTTTTTACTTTCCACCTCCATCATTCATTACACCAGATTTCCTCTTCTCCAATATATTATATGCTGTCTCAATTAAAGTTCACCATTGACATCAAGAATCGTGGTCTCTCTCTCTCTCTATGCACACATATTAGAGAAAGACTCCCTTGTTTTAAGTTTTTTTTCAGGTTTTATTTTTTATTATTGTTAAAATGGAAGGTAAATTCATTAATGTTTCCATTGATCAATTTTCATGTGGCCTTGAATATGCTATTGCTTTTTCCACTTCTTAAATTTCTATATAAAAGTTATTTTTGTTGATATGTATGAAATGGGGCAGGATAAGGCTGAAGGGATCATGAATCCCCCAGGATGGGAGATGTCAAGCCAACCGAGGTATAGTCTGTATGGACAGAGTTGGGGCAGTGGTCTTCTTTTTGGTGAGGCAGGGCCAGGATTACATGGTGTGATCCTATATACACCACACTGCCATCCTTAATAATTCTTTAGGAGATCCAGTGTGGCCATTACGAACAACAACAACCACCAAGCCTCATCAAAGTATTTGGGGTCAGCTGCATGGATCCTATGTTTCCATTCCACTCTATTTAAGGTCATAGCCTTAGTCAATCCATCCAGTTTGGCCATTATTACCCCTAAAATTCTAGCAATACACAAAATCATATATAAATTGGGTACATAGCAGTAAGGATCATAGTCTAAATGCCTCCAAAATTACTCATTTGCACTTTCACCCCAGGGTAGGATTCAAGCTATAAGTTTTGTATTGATAGTTGATACACAAGATTGCCATGTTAAGTCATCAAGCAATACCTTCTCTAATCTATATACTAAATATCAGTCCTTAATTAGTAGGTTATAAACTATGAAACATTGTATTGCAATTAAAAGCCTCTCTAAGGATGAATTAGAAAATGGAGCTTTAGTGTTTCATATTGCATTTAGCTCAAGAAAAGAATGACATAAATCAAAGGAAGGAACCTTAAAAAAACAAATTCCTTTCTTAAGCATTTTCATTTCTCTAATCTCATCATTCCTAAGATTAAAACTGAGGCTTCAATTCAAGGGAAGACAAATTTTCCAGAAACACTTATCATGCATAATATAGTATCTACCAATCCAAGGTATATATAAAATCGCAATTTCATAGTCATTTTCCAAAGCTCAATAACCATGGTGAAGAATGAAATCAGTAATGGACAATGTCAAGAAAGATAAATATAACCCATAAATAAAATAAATGAATTGAAGAAAATAACAATGGCTTGAAGCTAGAGAGCACAAAATTACTAACCAGTCCCAGCAGCAGTGACAGCCTGCCTGTACTTTTTATCCTGAACGTCGCCGGCCGCAAAAACTCCAGGGACACTGGTCTGTGTTGTCCCCGGCTTCGTCACGACGTACTTCTCTGAATCAAGCTTCAGCTGCCCATCCAAGAACTTGGTGGCAGGTTCATGCCCAATAGCAAAGAACAAACCAGACACCTTCAAATCCGAAACCTCTTCGCTCACCAAGTTCTTCACCTTCAAGCCTCCCAAAACCCCCTTCTCTTCTTCTCCATAAGCCTCCACCACCACCGAATTCCACAGTACATCAATCTTAGGGTTACTCATTGCCCTGTTCTGCATTATCTTCGAAGCCCTAAACTCGTCCCTCCGGTGAATTATATACACCTTCGATCCGTATTTTGTTAGAAAAGTGGCCTCCTCCATCGCCGAATCGCCGCCGCCGATCACTGCCAGCGGCTTGTTCCGGAAAATCGGGGCGGCGCCGTCGCACACCGCGCAAGCAGAAATCCCCCGGTTCCAGAACCCTTCCTTGCCCTCGCCTGAGCCGGGGAAATTCAGGCGCTTGGCGACTGCACCGGTGGCGACGATCACCGAATCGGCGATCACCGCCCTGGAATCGGTGAATACTTTGAACGGGTGGGTCGAGAAGTCGACCCGATTCACTGTTTCGGTGTGTATCTGGGTTCCGAATCGGACGGACTGGTCTCGGCAACGCTCCATGAACTCGTAGCCGAGGATGCCTTTGGGGAAGCCGGGGAAGTTCTCGACGTCGGTGGTGGTGGTGAGCTGGCCGCCGGGGGCGATGCCGTTGGCCATAAAGCCCTCGAAAAGGATGGGCTCGAGCTCGGCGCGGGCGGCGTAGATGGCGGCGGTGTGGGCAGCCGGGCCGCTGCCGATGATGCAGAGGCGGGTCTTGAGCTTCTGGAGGTCCTCCATGGCTGCGATCTTCGGGGATGTCGCCGATGTGAAAGAGGCGGCGGCGGAGGAGGTTGTGGCGAGACCCACCAAGTCGCGAGCTCTTCTCAACGCGTTTCTGAGCCTTGGGAAACAGTGCATTTCTCTATCTAGCATTTATTCGTGAAATCTCAAGAGTCAAAGAGTCCAAAAAAGCCGCGTTCTCAGAAACGTTTTTACGCGCGAAAACTGGGCGCGTTTGAATGAAAAGCAAATTCTATGAACACATGAAACTAGGGTTTCGAATCGACTATATCCATATATATATATATATATATATATATATATATTTCTTTTTCTTGACAATGAAGCCAAGAAAAGCAAGGTATATTTCTCCATCTGTGCTGTGAGGCTACGTTTATGCATGGAATAATAATTCTAAGACCCAATGATTTTGGAAAAAAATTTACACGGCCCACTATCGAATCAATAATAGTAAAAAAATTAAATTACACTAAGACATTTAATTAAATATGGGTTGTAATAGATCAGAAATAAGTAGTCTTAGAACTATATAATAATTTTCATAATATTCTAAGCTAGATTTCTTGTTTTGATTAGAGTTATGGCATATTTTCATAAATATGAATTTTCTTTTTCTTTTTTTCGGTAGTTTCTTGAAAATATTGTAAAAGTAGAACTTGGTTGTTCAATTTCAAAAGGTTAATTTCATATTATTTTGAAGTAAAAGTTGAATCATGGTTTTCTCCCTTCTTTAATCCAATAGAGCGATTCATGATTTATAATTGATATATTCATACATTTGTTTATAAAGAGATGTTCAAAACTTAATGTGTTCTCGTCCAACTATTAGATGTACAATATTTTCATGTAAATTAAACACAAATATAAAATTATATTGTTAAAATTGACAATCAAATGAAATAAAATAATATACTATGAATGACTTATAAAACTGAAATATTTATGAAAAAAGAGATCAGAATTCACACACAATTTGTTTTATTTTTACTTATAGTAGTTTTGCATCATAACAATGGTGAGAGAAATTGCATTGCATGACTGTTGATTATAAATTTAAATGAACCCTAAAAGCAAAAATTCATGGATCCGCAATCCAAGAAGGGAACAAAAATGCAACAAGAATGAGAAAACTTACAAACCCAATCAACAGGTTTATTATAGAATGTAACCAAAAGATATATTTGCTTTATTTTTGTAGGGGAGATTAAAGAGAGAAAATGATATCAACATCCTCATTATTTATTTTTAAAACCTAAAATTACCTACATTGCAATACGCGTTAAGTAAAATCTCTAGCTTGTTAGTGCTTTTACTTCTTCTTTTTTGCTTTTACTAATGTACTGTAGCGAAGTAAAAATATGAAGCATGTTTGGTAATATTTATTGTACTTTTGAATAGTATCAAAGCGCTTCCAAAATTAAGACCAAAATCAAAATCATCAAAATGATATTTTTGTTTGCTTCCGCACTGTATCAAAGCATTGTTCCATTTTTTTTTTTTTTAAATAACATTTTTAACTAACCATTTAAAATTTTTAATTTGTAATATTTTTTACCAAATATGCTTTCATATTTTTGCTTTTAAAAATCTTATAATAAATTTACGTTACCAAACAAATTTCTAAATAGTGTTGAACACACTCTAAAATCAAAAATATTACTTTTACTCAGGATCAAAGCAAAAGCACAAAATAACTGTAAATATTTGATCGTTTTAAATATTTTAAGGTTGGCTAAATGGTTAACAAATACGCTTGGTTTTTTAAAATCCCTACGGTATCAAACAAGGCCTAAGTCTTGAAATTAGTGTTTTCAAAATATAGCCAAGAAAAGATGTACTCGATTACTTTAGAAAAGATTTACTTGATTACTTCTTAAGTCTTGTATAGGTGGATGAGACCACTTGACAACTATTTTTGCTTCGTGTTTTTTCGTTTTTATTAATGTATTATTGTGAATCAAAAGCATGAAATATGTTTGGTAAGTCATTTGAATAGTATTTGTGATACCCCCGAATTTCCGAATACGGGTTGGCCAGGCCCACGCCTGAATACCCGAGGATATCAAAACAAATTGATAATAAACAAACACAGAGTACAAAATAATAAAGAAGAATAAATAAAATGCTGACAAGAAACTAAAATGATAATTTAATAATAAACCTCATAATATATTTTCATTAATTAATAAACTCTTCTGATACAACTGATCCTCCAAAATACAACTCGAGAATTCATACTGTGTGGACCCCTAGAAAATCCAAACTAAACAAATGACCGTAATCTGAAACAGGAAACTGAATCATAAAGGAACTCCTATGTAGCATCGGAAGAATGAAGTAGACTGATCCCCGCTCAGCACGAACAACCTCTACTCGTGACGAACACCTGAAAAATAATGGTGGGTCAGGCCCACAAACAAGTTCTACTCTACTACAGTCCAAGCAGAGATCCGATACACGTATACATTCTAGTCAATCCAACAGTAACTAGTAGTCCGTATATATATATATACACACTAAAGGAACCTCACTAGACTATAGGGTTGTCTCAACCTGAATAGTAGGCAACATGCAAAACGCACATATAGTGGGCATGAGTACCTAGACCTACCAGGGTATATAACTACACTATATCTAGCTACACATCCTTGGCGATATACGCGCCCTAACCATTGATCCTGAAACTCAAGCTCATATCATGGCACCATACTTATATATATATAATCTAGTAACCATCCTATCCAATATAAATTAATCCTCCATAAGTCATTCAACTTGTTCAGCTGACCTGACTTGAATATAAGTAGGACTTAACATTTTAGTTAATCCATTCCCTTATATAATAAATTAATCCTCCATAAGTCATTCAACTTGTTCAGCTGACCTGATTTAAATATAAGTAGGACTTAACATTTTAGTTAATCCATTCCCTTATATAAAATAGGTAGGACTTAACTGATAAGTTAATCCATCCCTAGAATGCCACCGTCCCATACCGGTGCATTAAACCACACAATCCAATAATTGATGTAACAATTAAGAAAATACATCAAACATTCCATAAATAACTATGATAAATATGATATCAAGTTATCACATAATAGGAATGACTTATTATTTCTTTAAACTTCCTATATCATATGTCTTACACAAACTGAATCTTATACATGATGATATTTTATTATACCGTTAAATAAGGATTCTCTATATCCAATTCATCCTATACATTTAATCTCAATTGCTAAAATATTTTAAAAGATTAAATCCATTCGTTTGTTTAAAACATTCAAATAGCAAGTATCATTATGATTGAGTCTATTTAAATTTATTAAAACCCAAACCTAGTCCCTATTTAATGTTCAGGAATCCTAAGCATGTTTCTACGTTCCATCATTCCATAGATATGTAAAATACATAATTTAAACATGTAAAAATTTACATAAGAAATCAAATCAAAATCATACATTTTATCAATTCATAACACAAGAACAGATATGAACCAATTTCATAAAACCTATGTTCTAACCCAATTAAACATGCATAATTATTTAATTTTATGTGTTTAATAAATTCTGGAATTTCCTAGGCATGTACAGAAACACGAATCAAAGGGAAAGAGACAGAAGAAGAACTTGCCTTAAACTTTCGGATCGAAAGTTAAACTTTTTCTTCCTTGATCTTCTCTCCATAGGGTTTTTCTCATCATTCCTTCCTTTTCCTCCTTCCTTCTCTAACACTATCTTTCCAGTATATATCACGTGAATATTTCTTTTACAACCTATAGCTATATATTTATAGGTTAAATAAAATAACTCTAACCCTTTTCCCAATCCAAGTCAACTAAAAAAAAATGAAAATAAAAATATTAAAAAGGTAAGCAAAATATGTTATGTATATAATTTATGTATATGTTTATTAAATAAATAAATTATACACATTCCATTATTTATTAATGGATTATCCAATAATATTTAAGTTACCATAATATTATAAAGTAACTTAAGACATAACACGTATCATGTTACGTATATAATTTACGTATATGTTTATTAAATAAATAAATTATACACATTCCATTATTTATTAATGGACTATCCAATAATACTTAAGTTACCATAATATTATAAAGTAATTTAAAACATAACACGTATCAAATCTATGTAAATTTTTATTATTTAAATATAAAACATATATATCAGATTAAATATTACTACCCAAGTTATCATAAAAATAATTAATAAATTACTTTCCTTTTTATATATGTATATAATATATATCTATATATATACATACATTATCCATGGGTAATAATCCATACACATCCAACCTCCTATCCAAGTAGTCCATGGGACCCAATTGGTTGGCCCATTACTACTAACCATAACCATAAAAGAAAAATAAAATAAAATAATTAACACATAGACAAATACAAATAATACATAGACACATAATCAAATAATCAAGAAATACCTAATTCAATTAAACACATAAGCAATTAGTCAACTAATCAATTAAATAATTAAAAAATACAATTAAAATAAATAAATAAATACCGAGACTATCATTTTAAAATTAGGGGTATTACAGTATTAAAGCGCTTTTGAAAAAGAGGTCAAAATCTGAAACATAAAAATGATGTTTTTGATTGCTTCCGCACTGTAGCAAAGTACTATTTTTTTAAAAAAATTAATTTTCTTTTCTAAAATGACATTTTTAATTACTCATTCAAATTTTCAACTTTAAAACATTTTTTTACCAAACATGCTTTTATGTTTTTACTTTATAAAATTTGTTTTACAAATTTACATTACCGAATAAATTTTGAAATAGTATTGAACACACTCTAAAGCAGAAATACGATTTTTGCTTCAAATCAAAGAAAAAACCTGCTTCGAAGCAAAGTAAAAACAAAAAGTAAAAAACAAAAGTGATTACCAAACGAGTCCTATATATTAGTACATCAAGCTAGGGGAAAAAACAATTCGATTAGACCAGACCTAATAAGAGTAACCATAAGAGTCCATATATTGTCATAGTCACATAACAAAACTGGTTATGATCCATCCAACAATATAACAACTACAACTAGTCCAAAACGTTGTGAAGTGTACAATACTATATTAGGGGTTGGCCCATTAGGCCCATATCACAAGTTGAAAATTTTAGGGGTTGGCCCATTATGAATCTAGCCTTATAAAGCATAGCCACCCAACCCGGACAAGGATTCTCTCTCACA